GGAGCCCATCCATGGATAAACGCGATACACTTTATCATGATGAAGCTGCTCGTTATTTGGCCGCTTTAAAATTTATGAAGAATGAATGTTTCCTCGCTCACGCAAAAACTCCACGCTCACCCTTCTGCCAAAACAGAGACTCCCCCGGATTGTGCCATTGGTGTCTCACCCTTGGGGCTGCCTTAATGACAAATCCCCAAAATAACTTCAAGACTGATTGGTGAAGATTAAAATACCAGATGGAGATTAAATATTTCCTCTTCTGCCTTATTTAATCACTTTAATGTTTGACCATCTGCAAAAGTCTATTGGGACAAAAAGGAAACTTTATCATCTTCCCCATCCTCACAATCTTGAGGCCCTTTTTTCCTGGCTTCTCGCCACATGAGCAGCCAAAAGGGATCCCCCATTGACTCGCCACTTTATCTGGGGGGTGGAAAAGGTAAGGATTTCAGCGTCAAGATGAGATTGATTCCTTGCATCCATTGATTCTGTGCTGTAAATAATTAAATCGATGATAAATGCGTTTGAAGAAGAGGCAAAATCACACTGACTCTCGCTTGAGAATGTTTTGCAGAAAATCCCGAAAACCACGTGCCAGGATGAGTGTGTTCAGAGTGTCCTGGGAGAAATTTATGATTACAGCATATTTCACATGGCTTTTTATGCGCCACACCACAGAAAATGCCGAGTCCTGTGACTTTGTATACCCTGAGCATTCCTCCGCAGACCACAGGCATTGACGGAGATATTCAAACAATGCCTAAGAAGGAGAAACTGCCAAGCAAAGGTGTTTCTGTGGTTGTCTTGCACTTGAAAACCAACCGCAAGACAAGCGCCATCCTCTTCACACTCGAGGACGCCGAAGTGGTCCTTCGCCTCGTGAAAAAATCATACTCTCGAGTCGCCCAATAAATTATCCGTGAGATATTCTGGTTGAAATGGTTTGCCGGGAGAGCCGTGGGATGGCTTTCTCCGGGTGGCATAAGGAGGAAGATTAATGGAAATTTCCTTGGCCGTGGAGACAATGAATTGAAAGAGGCGTGAGGCAGAAGGGATGTTGTTAGACAAATGGGCCTCTTTCGGTGGTTGAAAGATGCAAAAGATTTCTTTAACTGAGCATTCACTCCCCCCTCCAGGGAAGGATTGACGAGTGATAAATTATTGGTGTAATTAAGTTGAAATAAAATATATTGCACGCAGGGAAAAAGGATGAAAATACACTTGAGGACCACAAGTTACTCTAACTCAAACTCGTTGAACACTGGGGAGAAAATAAATAGAATTACCAGTGACTCCTTTTTCCCTCGTCGCTCTTTGCTAGGCAAATTTCCAAGTTTACCAAAACTTCTTTTTGCCTTTGAGCTGTCTATCGCAAGGGGAAAATATGTCTCCTACTTGAATTTCTTAAGTATATTAATTTTTCTGGAATAATTCTGAATAAATTTTGAGGTTATGAGTCAATTACAGAGTTGGAAATTTATTTTTCTAGTTATTCTATTGATAAATCAGTGATATTGTGTTAAATATCGCGTTCAAGACAAAACTCTATTAAACTTGTTAATTATTGAGGTTATGTTTGATTTTAAAACTGTTTTTCAGCTCTATATCTTTACAAATCGTCTAATTCAGGCGAAAAATAGAAATATTTTCACCTTCAGCGTAAGAAATTCTGATTTTATGTCTTAATTAGTGACTAAATTCGTCTTCAATTGATCATATAACCTCAAAAAAGCATTATTGATTAATTGTTTCTAAGTAAGAATCAAGAGTAGTTTAAAGAAATGCGGTAATTGGTTATTAAAAGGAGCTGTAAAGCACTTCTGATGAAATATCTCCTCCTTGGTGGCGCGGCGAAAGTCTCTCGCAGACGAGTTTTCTGGCCAGCACGGAGACTCGAAGAAAACGCCATTTGCCACATTTTTTATGCACTTCAGGTGCAGTCTGCAGTACACAAATTTTTACCTTCTTTATTACCCCATTAGCTGTGCAAAAGGAGGGTGTATCTTTGGGGTGGAAGAATGTGTTTTTTTCCCCCGGCGAACACCAACATTAGAGCCATAAAGTCAATTTTAGAAAAGTTCCTCCACGGAACACAGAATCAATATTTATAGTTGGACGACAAAGTTTCTCCTCCGCACTTGATAAATACACTCTCGAGTCCCTCGCATCGCCACCCCCTCATCCCTCGCCCATCCCTTCGCACGGCCAGGAGGACAGCATGTGCTTCCTGGACTCCGTCAGGAGTGAGGGAACATCATCACCATTGATTATTTGAAAGCTTTCAATGGCGTGTCATTGCTTTTTGTGTGACAAGAGAGGATAAAATATCGTGTGCAGAAACACATAATATAATCTATTGCGATAATATTCGATAATTAAATCAGTGAATAAATTTTGAGAGTGTAAAACATGGAAATTAATTAACAAAAAAATATATTAATTGGGAAATGGAGTTTTATATTACAAATTTGAATGTGTAGCAGAAAAACAAGAAAAGTGTAATTCAAGGGAATGATTAATAAAAACAGGGGTTATTAAAATAAATCATAACCGAAAATATAAAAACTTTTACAATCCAAATTCCAAATAAGGCTTTTTACGCATTTTTCTGTATATTCAAAATTCCACAAAATTCCACTCTTTTCCACCAATATCGCTTCGTTGAGGGTTAATTATCATTGATACACAGTTTTGGGAAAAGTTAATTTATTCGACATCGATGATTGTTGTTACAATCTTTCTTCCTCTTGTAAACACATTGAGCAAATTTCGGCTCATTTTCTTTTGGCTTTTTGCTACTTCCGTGCGGCTAATTTTCACCCAAAATAAAAATCACCCCTCAGGCTTATTTAATTGAAAATCCAATGAGTTTCCCCCCCTCTCGAGGCCATCGAACGACGGGGCGAGGAAAGCCATTGAGAATGCCAAGTCGCGAAGATGACGCGGTGAATTCTCTTGGAAAGAAATGGAAGTTTAAATTAATTCTTGTTAGAAAACACGCGGGTTCATTTAGTCAATTCATCCTGCCTTGCAATTAAAATTCCCCGGAATTCTTCTTGCCGGATCATTTTTTTTCTTTTCTCCTGCGCCCATCCAACAAAGGCATCACATGTGAGTCCCGCCCGAGGGATGCTCTCTGCCGTTTGAGGGGTGCGAGAGGAAGTGAGAGTCGGAAGCGGGTGAGTTTTTCGCCTTCTGGGGCAAAATCGTGCATCCTGGTTAATAATTTGGGATAAACTGGGAAGCGAAAAGACCTTTTAATTACCTCTCCTTCTCTCTGTGGATTTTTTTCCCCCAGCCCTCAAAGGGGGAGAAAAACTTTTTCTATATAGCCAGAATTCAATTCAAGGGGTTTGTTAATAATAGGCTTCAAGAGCCACACAAGAAAAAAAGGCTTTCTTGTTCTTCTGATTCCATTTTTCGTCGTTTCACAGGAAAGACTGTTTCTGGAATTCTAAGAAAATATCTCAAAAACAGCGGATTCGAGAAGTTTGTGCGGAATATAGAGAAAGAGTGGGAAATTAAGGAGAAAATGAATTTTCTGATCGATGTGATTAAGATCGCTGCTCGGTCTTAAGACAAGACACGTGACGCCGTGAAATATCAGTCTAAAGCGATGTAATTGTGTTCATTAATTTCATATTTACATATTTAAGAGATAATAAGATTCAATAACTATTTGTTCTTCGAGAACAACATCTGAAGCCAAAGTGACACTGAGATTACAATATTAGTAACCCCTTCAATTTTATTCAATTAGATAATTCTAGCCTTCGTGCAGTGACTCCTTGTCTCACCCATTTTATTAGAAAGTATATCTAATAAGAGTGGGAAAAATGCACAAGAGACTCTTTTTTGCAATTCTTCTGCACCGTGTTTGTGCCATTTTCGGCATGTTCCGGAAGTCGTCCTGCAAACAAACTCCAGCTCTCTTTCGCCCAGGATAAATTGCAGACGAAGTATATTCCTTTGAGACTTTCCTCCACTGCAAGAAGGGCAAGCAAAATCATTTTAATAATTTAATTTCATCTCCGCTGAAAACTTTCTCTCCTTGTTTATTTGTCTGTTCAGGTTTTATGCACTCTCGCGCGACTCTTTTTTACCTCCTTGTCTCGCACAACACTCCAAGATCCTTCAGTGATACACAAAAACACCTCACTCGAGACGGTAAAGACATCTTTTGCACAGCAAATGGAAAACTCGTGTCTCCCACGATTCGCAATCTCAAAGACATCACCGTCAAAAGGGGTGAGCGAATTCTTTATGGCCATTGAGAGGGATTTAAAGACAGCAAAAGCGACACGATGATTTCATTTAAAGACGATTAGGATAAGAGTAATTATAGGTTTCCTTCCTCGTTCCCCGAAAAGAGATGGAAAGTGAGAAAAAGTAGATAATTTTGCCTACTTGAGCTCGTTTCAAAATAGTTTTACACACTTTTGCCACTCTCACGAGTTGGAAACAAATATAATTGCTTCTCTAAATCCTTCTTCGCCTTGTTCTTCGCCCATTTATGAAACACTGAAAATGTTATAGAAATAATAATAGTGGAAATATAAAATTGTACAACTTAGAAAAGTGAATTTCTTTAGAGCTTTTTGTTCGCCACTTCTTGTTGTTAAACCATTTGTGATAACAATTGAAATAGAGCATTAAATAAATGGATAAAATTACAGTGCAAATTAAAGAAATTATGCTCTAAAAGTGGATTTTCTCCTATTAAAAGTGTTTTAATTACAAAATAGAAAATCAATCGAAAAGTCAACCGAATTTCGCTTTGTGTCTCGGCTAAGCGTAGCTTTCTTCCCTAATTCCTCAAATTGCGGTAGAACTGATGACTTTTGGAGTATTTTGGCTGGAACTATTAAATATTATTTCCTGAGAAGGAGTAATTTATGCTAAATATCCAGCTTTTATTATTTCCATTCACGGTTTGATCCGATAATTTTTTACGCGCCCTTTTGGCGTCTTTTTACGGCAAATTCGCAGCCAACTTCACAGTGCTAAAGTGTCAGCGCGTGCAAAATAGTAAACAAAGCGGCATTTTCCCCCAAAAAGTGCAAAAATCACACGGAAAAGATGTTCTATCACGTGAGTATCTCTTGATTGTGCATCAGCGAATCCCTTTAGCACCCTGTGCATCTTGACATTCCACTGCAGATCTCCCTGGAGCACGAGATTCTGCTCCATCCGCGCTACTTTGGGCCTCAACTCCTTGAGACGGTGAAGCAGAAGCTGTATACGGAAGTGGAGGGAACGTGCACGGGAAAGTACGGATTCGTGATAGCCGTGACCACAATTGACAACATCGGATCGGGAATAATACAGCCCGGCCAGGGATTTGTCGTGTATCCAGTCAAGTACAAAGCAATCGTTTTCCGGCCGTTCAAGGGAGAAGTGCTGGACGCTGTGGTCACGCAGGTGAATAAAGTGGGCATGTTCGCCGAGATTGGGCCTCTGTCGTGCTTCATCTCCCACCACGTGAGTCCTGTGAACTGTTTTCGCCGCCTTCCCGGGCTTGGGAGTGTAATGAGAGTGTCTTTTTGCAGTCAATTCCCGCTGACATGCAGTTCTGTCCAAATGGGAATCCGCCCTGCTACAAGTCCAAGGACGAGGATGTGGTCATTGCGGCCGAAGACAAGATCCGACTCAAGATTGTGGGCACGAGAGTGGACGCCACGGGAATTGTGAGTAAAATTTATCAATCACAATGTGCAAGAATGTCGATTGATCCCTGTTTTTTCATTGCCAGTTCGCCATCGGCACTCTTATGGACGACTATCTGGGCCTGGTGTGCAGCTAGAACATTCCTCTGGCCGGTTTTGCGTACAATTTTCTCTATTTTGTAATAAATTAACTCCATTTACATCATTTACTCTCTGTGTGTTTTAAAAAATCCCGGGCTTCATTTTCGGAACCTGTCAATGGCATTTCAGCTGAAATCACATTTGTAGTGATTCCCCGGTGATAATCTTCGCGACTTTCACTCGTTCTCCAGTCAGTTTTCAGGCAAAATCCCGGGAAGAGAGGGCATTTTCTGACCAGAAATGGTTGTCTTTATTGTGGCCACTGCCGAGGAGTACGGCAAGCTGATCAGGTGAGTGGAAAATCACCGCTTGAGAGATACTCGCTGGATTGTGAGGTTACGTTTCGTGACTCCTTCGCAGTTCCTCCAAGCCCACCGTGGCGATCTTCACGGCGGACTGGGCGGAGCAGTGCAAGCAAGTCCTGGACATTGCCACGGATCTGTCGGCGCAGCCGGCCTACGCGGATGTGCAGTTCATCAGCGTGCCGGCGGAGGAATTGTCGGAGATCTCCATGAAGCACCAGATCGAGGCTGTGCCCACAGTTGTGTTCTTCCGCGCGGGCAGCGCGCTGGACCGCGTGGATGGCGTGCAGATTGCCGCCTTCACCAGCAAGTGCGAGAAGCTGGCGGGTGTGGCGACGTCGGAGAAGGGGAAACTCGAGGAGCGCCTGAAGGCGCTGATTAGTCGCCATCCGGTGATGATCTTCATGAAGGGCGATCGCAGTGCGCCGCGCTGCGGCTTCTCCAAGCAGCTCATCGCCATTGTCAACGAGACGGGGTGAGTGTCTGGGGTCAAGGGGCGCCTATTTCTGGCCACGCGCGCTGAATTCGCCTCATTTGCATCTTTGCTTCTCAACAGCGTCTCGTACGACACCTTCGACATTCTCACAGACGAGGACGTGCGACAGGGCCTGAAGACCTTCTCGGACTGGCCCACGTATCCGCAGGTGTACGTGAAGGGCGAGCTGATCGGCGGCCTGGACATCGTCAAGGAGCTGCTCGCGTCCGGAGAGCTCAAGGCAACACTCGCCGGCTGAGCGCGTCCGGAAGGCGGTCTTGGGCAGGTTTTGGAACACACGAGGGATGAATAAATTGAAATTTTTAGTATATTTATCAATCTGCTGATGAGTGTCCGGGATTGTGATGCTCCTGGACGTGAGGAAAGTGCGTTGAGTTAGGCTGAGGTGAGTTTAAGCGGGCTTCTGCAGCTGTGCCAGCTTGATTTCCATCACATCCATGATGGCATCTCGAATCTTGGACTTCTCGAAGCCCAGCATCTCGATCTTCTCCACCTGCTCCTGCACGAAGTCCACTTTCCTCTTGAAGTAATCCTTCGCACCGACGACATCCTGGAATTCCCCCGGAAACCCGTGAAAATCTCTCTCAGTCTCTCTCTCTGACATTCCTTGATTACCTTCTCAGCATAGTAGCCCGTGCCCACGTCAATGATCACGTTGTCCACCTGCTTTATCACTCCCGGAACGTACATGCTTCCGGTGAGTGGCACCAAGACGGGCTGTTCCTTCTCCTTCCACTCCGGCTTGAACTGCTCCAGGCTCTCCTTGGAGCCCATGAATTTGCTCTTGGCCATCTTTAGCGTCTGCAGAGACTCCTGGAACACGCCCAACTCCTGCAAGGCGCCCCGCGAGGGCAGGAAGAGACATTAAATCCACCCCCACACTCGCACTTTGAGGTTAAATACCTGATCCAGCTGACTCTTTAGCTGCGTCAACTGCTGCAAATTCAGCTTCATGAGGTCGATTTGCTGCATTCCCGGCTCCTCTGTGGATGAAATGCTCGCCATGGCTGCCGATGTGTGGCCAGGAAGTGCCAGGAAAGGGAATCAGCACAATTATAAACAAAAAAGCACGGTCAGAACTTTTTGTTCGCCACTCTTCGCCGCAGTGAAACCCTTCAATGACACCCAAATTTCGCCTCAATTCTACCGTTAATTTTTTATTGTGAAAAATTTTCTTCAGAAATTTTTTCCCGAGTTTTTAGCAAACATTTCGTGTTGAATTCTCTGATTTGCGGCCAGGAAAACTTCAGCAGAGGATGTATGCACGTTGTCAGCTCAGATCTATGGGTGAGGAGTGTGGAAATATGTGGAAATAAGGGGAATAAACTTCAATGGATTCCTTCGATGTTTATACATTGTATTCGTGTGGCTTCCGGTGCTTCCTTTCAGGGAACATTTCCAGCAAATTGAATTGCCAAGACAACTGCCCGATATGCCTGGACGAGGTGGAGAACGGCGTGGTGACCAACTGTGGTCACGTCTTCTGCACGGATTGCCTGGAGAAACACATGAAGCAGAAGAAAGTTATCGACCAGACAAGCCTGATGCAGGGTGTTATCGAGTGGAAACGCCGTCCGATGCTCTGCCCACTCTGCAAGAGCCGCCTCGACAGATCCCTGTTCGTCAGTCTGCAATTCTTCCGGAAGTGATTGAGATTTTGGCGCTCGTGCAATGTGAGGTTATGTGGCTGAGTGAAGTTTTGTGCTGTGACGTAAGGGAAATGCTGGTGAGGAGGATTCCTGTGTTTTGGAGAGGAGTATCGCGTGGAGTGACCATGTCTGCGAGTGCTAGAGCTAAGGAGGTGGTTGAGGAGCTGAAGGAGAAGAATCCCTACTACGAGAAGTATGCGGAGAAGATAGCAAAGCTGCAGAAAACCTCGCCGGAAGAGTTTCTGTCGCGTGTTGACAATTTGGAGAAGGTTAAGAAGCCGGAAAAGGCAGCTCCGGAGGAGAGAACCAGGTGAGTTTCTCTGCAGATGTTGTTCTCTGACGGAACTCTGAGACTTTCTCCCTCTTTCCAGGAGCTACAGTGAGTTGCTGAAGCCGAAGGAGTCGCTGAAGGAGAAGGGAGAAATTCCGCACAAGAAGCTGGACGACATCATGAAGATAGATTTGGTTGAGGGCAAGTCTGCCGATGAGATCCGGTCCATTTGGCTGGAGTATCACAAAATGAAGGACGTCATCGCGGCGGCGATTCCCACGGAGCAATACGATTTGCAGCAGAATCGTGCCAAGTCGCATCCCATCTTCGTTCTGCCCATCCCACGAAGTCAGGGCTTCGAGTTCATCATGCTGCAATTCGCCGCCAACTCCGTGCACTTCACGCCCCTGCTCTGCTACCAGGTGCACAAGGAGAACGCGCCCGAGTGTCTCAACATTGTGCACTACACGGAGTTCCGGGAGAAGGGAATTGTGCTGATGCGCGGCGAGTACGACAGTCAGGTGATCAACGCCCAGGAGGCGCAGTGTCTGGCCAATCAGCTGCAGCTGTACTATGGCCAGAACTCCCAGGACAAACTGCAGCTCCTGGAGACCTTCACCAACCAGCCGGAGAGCTTCAAGCACATGGACGTGATCGCAGAGCTGGAGAACCTGAAGATCAGCACACCGTGAATTCTTTTCTGTGTCTAGTTTATTGAATATATACGTGGATTAACTTAATCCCCCGTGAAGTCTCTGTCATTCCGGTCATTCCTTGAGTAATCCTGCTCGAAATCCATCTCTTGAGGGCGAAAAGGACTCACAAATCCGCTACTGGACTCTATCATGTCCAGGATGGGCGACAGGGAGAAATCCTCGGCTTCCTCGGCAGTGCTCTGTTGTCCAGTGATGTCATTCAACAGCTGAGTGTCCAAATTGAAGGACGACGCGTCCCTGTCGTCGGCGCTGAAGCTATTGAGCCAGGAAGTGTCTGAGAAGCTTGAGATCTTTGTCTCATTGCAGCTTTCTGCCATGTGGTCAGGTGCATCTTGCTCCACCTCCATCAGCCATTTCTTGATACTGTCAATCGTCTTCACACTCTTCTGACTGCACTCATCCACGAGTTCCTGGTACTGAGCAGCTTTCTGCCTCGTGTCCTCTTCCGGATGCGCCGCTGAAGCTTCCCACCTTCCTGGGACGTGCATTGCAGGCAGTTCAGCGGACTGTGCCTGCTCCTGACCACTGTCAGAGACTCCAGGAGGCCTGAGTGTCTGCCAGTAGATGGAATTCTTGAAAGATCCCGGGCAGGAAACTGAGAATCCAGGCTTCTTCGGTGGCTGCAAAAAGTCAGGATTTTCCGGCACTCTCTCGCCTCTGCGCTTTGACGCCTTGGAATCATCTTCAAGATAGAACGAAGCAAGGCGCGAATTAGCGCCAATTTCCCAGAGAAAATCACACCTTTTCTTACCCATATTTTCTCCACGAGCTTTTTTTCTTCAGCACACTGCTTCGGAATTCAAAATATGCCACCAGAGGGCAAAAGTGGCGCTCATCCATTTGAATATTAACCGTCAAGATCGTCTGAAGATCATCGTGGAGAATTTTAATGAATGGGCGGAAAAATTGGTGGAAAAGCTAGACAATAAAATTTCTCATCCGCGTGAAAAACCCACCTTTGTCAAACGGAGATTGAACCGTGGAGAAAAGTGTGGAGATTAGGCTTGTTTTTCGCCACTGAGCGACATGTTTTGCGCAAAGCAACAAATTATGACGGGCAAAAAATGCATTTCTACAATTCACTTTAATTGCACACACATAAAATTAATACTGCAACACCCTCAGAAACAATAGTCATGATTACCATACAAATTCCGCAGGGCTGATCTTCAACCACGCGTGAAATATGTCACCACTTATCTCTGATCCGCATGCAAATTTGCCCAGAGGATTAGCACGAGGAACACCTAGAGATCACCGGCAGCATCTCGGCGAACTTATAAATGCTGACGCGACTCGGAGTCCCCAGCAGTTCATTATCAGCTTTTCCGTGGGGATTTTTTGGGGCGCTTTTTTTCGAGGGTGACATGCAGTGATCGCGAAATGGTGGCAAATGATCGTGGAATCTTTACCATTGACGAAAAGTTGTCGATTGACAGTGAGAAGAATGGGCGAAAGAGTTGTGACGAAGGGGAGAAAATCTCTCTGGATGAGGCTCTCGACAGGCTCGGTTTGTGCATGAAATCCCCACCAGGCGAAGGACAGGGATTACAGGGATTTGCTTGCTTTCCGCAGGATTCGGCCGCGTGCATATGCTGGTCATCATCGCGGGGGGACTTTGCCTGCTCACGGTGATCAACGAGTCGATGGGCATCGGCATGCTGATGCCGGTGGCTCAGTGTGATCTTGAGCTGACATCCACTGATAAGGGCCTGTTGAGTGCTATCAGCTTTTTGGGTAATTTACACACCTTCGCGCCATCCGGAAAATAACAAACCGCCGTTCGACTTATCACAAATCCCATTTCAATGAGATCGGAGAGTTTTGCTCGTCTGGCGCGCAATTATGCGATTGAACATGAAGATATCTACGCAAGGGGGAGATAATATGATCTAAAAGTGCGGTAAACAGTTCAGTAGAAGACATAAAGTCGACTTAAAGTTATCAACAGTGGATTTTAACCAAGTTTCAACAGAATTTTAGGAGAAAATTACTCAATATCAACAGTCTAAGGACTAATTAGTCCATATTTTTCCTATTTTCAAATAGGATAAACAATATTCGTCCTTATTGCTTTTTGTTCAAACAAAATAGCGTAATTCGGGAAATTCGTTGTATTTCATTTGATTTTCGTGCTAATAACTGCTTTTTTCGGATTCTGTGACTAGTTTAAGTCAGATTTAACCACCAAAAACATCAAATATTACTATTCATTGATAGAATCATATATTCTTTGATCTTGAGCAAATTGTGATCAAGTCAAAAATATATTCCAAAGTAGTATTTTGAGCTTGAAAAATGTCCATTTGAGAAAGCTCTCAGACGGATTTTAGACTTGAAAAACCAGTAATTTTGATTTCATTAGCAAATCATAAGACAATAAGATGTATTTGAATTGTCATAGACAGTTTCTGAGTGATGATTTTACGATATGGTTGGAAAAAGAGGCAGAAAAGGAGGTTTTAAGTGTGTTCCGACGGAAATATCCAGGGAAATATTTGATGAAGACTTGAGGAATTTAACTGTAACTGTGCAAATAATGTGCAAACAGGCTAAAGAATTGAAATTAGGCAGTGATTTGTAGATTTTGACTACTTTATCTCCCCCTTTTGTATACATAAATTCACCCAATTCACCTTTTCTGATAAACAATAAGGAAATTTGAGTTCGCTGTTATAAACTTGATGAATATAATGTCAACCAGTCAAATGGCTGAGCATTAATTCACCTCTCCGGAACTCCATGATGAGCATCTTCACTTCTTCGCAGGAATACTGACATCATCCCACTTCTGGGGCTACTTGGCGGACACCAGAGGACGCCGCAGGATGATCATGTGCACACTATTCGGCACGGCGATCATCACGATCTTGTCGAGTGTCGCGCAGAATTTCACCCTCTTTGTCGTGCTGCGATTCTTATCAGGCGTTAGGTAGGCGGATTAGCTGAGATTTGCACATCTTATCTCGCGATGTTTTGCCTTATAATTGTCTCTCTTCGCGCTCCGCAGCATCTCGGGTCCATCAGCCGCGATCTACGCGTATCTGGGCGAGTTCAATTGCAATCGCTACCGAGATTCCGTCATCTCCTTCACCAGCACCTCAATCGGACTCTCCGCGGTGTTCGTGGCGGGCCTGGCGTGGATCCTGCTGCCCCAAACCTGGGCTTTCGAGATCTACGAGGGCTTCTTCTTCCGTCCATGGCGTCTGCAGCTGATCATCAACACCCTGCCCGGGATCTTGGCTGGTGTGCTAATTGGCATTCTGCCGGAGAGCCCGAAATTCCTTGCCTCACAGGTATGCACGGCCTCAAGGCCTCGATCCCGGTCGTTGTCCTCCCGCGATTCCTGTTTCAGTCGAAAGTCTTCCATGTTATCGATAATTGGCCAAAGAGATACGATTGTGAAAAGGTGAATTTTCGTATAAATTGTGTACAATTTATTTTAATCTTTTTTCCCCAACTGACCAATCCATTAAAAGTAATCTTATTCTCGGTTCTTAGACACTGTAGGCGTATTCCAACGGCAAAAAGAATATGAAAAAAAACAAACGTTCTCCCCAAAATTTTAGGGACTTTAAACATTCTCTTATTCTTCCAAGTATTCTTCCAATTCCAAGACAAAAAAGGCAAAAAAGCCACGAAAACAAGAGACTTTTTCCACTTTTTCACAAGTGTCTCAAGATATCTCAAGATATTTGAATAATACAATAATTTGAGCGATGATGAGAATTTTCAATGGCACAACATTCGATTGTGACAAAGTGATTCTCCTCATGATCGGCATATTTTAGCGGTTCACACAAAAAGACACACTTTTGGGTGAAAAAATTTTCATCTGAAGATTATGCAAAGTAACTCCAATTTATCAGTCTGAATGGAAACCAATTGACCAATTACTTTGCCAGGGAAAAACAGAAGAGGCTCTGGCTGTTGTGAAGTGGATTCACGCCAAGAATTCCGGCACGGAAGCGACTCAGCTGCGAATCAGCGAGATCTCGTCGGAGGCCCAGACGAAGGGTGGGGATTTAGGATGTCTCAAGTCGCTGCTGAACCAAATGAAGCCTCTCGTGTCGTCAACCTATGTGCTGAATTTTATCATCTTCTGCAGTCTGCAATTTGGAGTGTTTTACACGTAAGAGCTTTTTGGCCTTAGCACTAAATTTCAGGGTTCTCAAGAGCTGTGAGATCACTTTCAGGTGCGCAGGGGTTGGTCTCTGGTTTCCGGACATCGTCAATCGAGTGCTGCAGAAGGCGGGAGACGATAGTTTGACTCTGTGTCAGACTCTTGACTTCAAACCCAATGCGACGAGCTTTGAGCTTTTGGAAGACACTTGCGACGACTCCATTGGAACAGACACGTTTATGTACAACATGCTGTACGGATTGCTCTACATCACTGGCTATATTATCCTAGGATTTCTCGTGAAGCTCTTCGGTCGCAGAATACTACTTGGTAAGCATAAGCGCAAAACAAGGGGAGATATCACGTCGGAAGTGGTGTACAGATGCATTCTTTGGCCAAGACTTTAAACTTCTTGTGATTAAGCAAGACTTTATAAGAAAATCAACCCCAAAAACATTAATTAACATGCTCAATTGGGGAACATTTTTATTAATTGCCTTAAAAAACATTTATATGACTAAAAACTTTATTAAAATTTCAGAAAATGCTTATTTTAAGATTTTTCTCGCCAAATTTTGAATAAAAATCTCCAAAAGAGAATTTAAATATAGTAAATTTTTTTTTTAAATGTTCAGAACTTCGAGGCGATTTAAAGTTGCTTAATTATAGTGTACAGATTTGAGCCATATTGTCTTCCTCCTAGTTCAACATCGCGGACGACTGACCCCCAAAACTCTAGATTGTATTATTATTTTTTTTTTAGAAATAAGCATATGTATCTATCAGTTGAGAAAAATGGTTTTTGAATAATTTAATGAAGTCGCGAAACATTGATATCTTGTCGCGCAAAAAATGCCTTCGACGCTATGCTAATTTGTCTTGATTTATTGGGTTGCGAATTGTCCAGCGGGCAGGAATCTTGAGATTAAATTGAATTCTTCTGGGATTGAGCTGCGGAATAAGAATGACTCACCCGTTATAACACCTCTTGACCAACATAGATTTAGAAGAATCGCGTGTCTGTGGAAGATTTAAATCAATTTCAATTCAAATTTCGCACAGTGTCTGTCTTGGGAGGATCAGCGGCCATTGGATTGGCGCTCATTTGGGTCACTAGCCGCACTCTTGTGGTGTTCTTCCTGAGTCTGCACTTGATGTTCGCCGGGGTGTCAATTTCGGTGATCAACTCGTCTGTTGTGGCTGTTTTTCCCACCCACTTGAGGGCAACGGCGGTGTGCATAACGCTGATGTTCGGCAGATTGGCAACATTCACCGGAAGCAACATCATTGGGCATCTCTTCGATATCAATTGTCAACTGACATTCCTCACATCCGTCGGCATGATGATGGGTAAGCTTTCCATTGAAAGCTCCAAAGAGCTTCTTTCGCTCAAACTGTGTCTCTTTTCTTTCAAGTGTGCGCCACAATTTCACTCTTCATCCAAGTCAAAAAGCAATCATCATGAAAAGGATCTCAAACAAGCCAGAGACTGAGAAAATTCATAATCAGAATTACCACCTAAGACTTCACTATATAGTGTAATTTTAGTAAATAAAGCATTGAAACAAGAAAGTGTTTTCTCACCACCAGGCGCCTCCATCGATTTCTATCAGCCAAATTATCATGAGAAAGTGTCGTGAAGGAGACAAATTATCAGAAATCACGCAAGATGACATCAAAATACGCTCAAGTATGACAGATATTCTTGAGATCCACCAGTGATTCCAATAACGCGACACTTAATGTTCACTTAAATGACTATGTGCGTCCATACATGGGAAATATTCACAAGCTCGCGTCACAATAACTACAGTAATTGATGCAGTATTTCTCAAAGCACTTCACCACAGTTCATAAGATCATAACCAGTACGAAATATACGTTTATGACTTCTGATCTTTCCACATTCATACTATTTTGAAAAGTAAAGCAAAAGCAGTAATTAATTAGCTTTTTTTAAATGCTTCTCAGCAAATAATTTACTAATAAATCACCAATAAGAAGAGATTGATTAATTTACACAGCATGTTTCTTATTCTGTATAGAAGCTCACAAAGCTATTCAACATAATCTGTTGGATTTTGCATTTTTTTTCTTCATTTTCATGAGAATATCAGTCACAAGAGCTTTGACCTTTCGCACAAACAGTGCAACTTGACTGCGAATAAATTTGCCACCAGCTGTCCAATGATTTACTGGATCTGGGTAATTATGTAGAACATTATATTGACGGGTTCCGCATTGGAAAAAAGAGGCCTTTAAATGCCAGCAAGTTCATTGATCTCTTGTGTACCGCTTAGTGGCGCCATCTAGGACTCGCTGCAGATCTGCAACGCTGAATCAACTCACGTGTCTCATTGACCAATTGGACAATGTTGCGATAAATCGCGGTCAATGTGCAAAAATGCCCCGCAGAGCTTCTACATAAGGTGATCCGGGCGAGCGTACAGCGCGCGCTGATGGCATTAGATGCGGTTGCTCTCGTGAAGCGTGCAGCGATCACCCTGTCCCGTGTGTGTTTTTAACAATGAACTTCAACACGAGAAGTTTGATGGTGGAGTTCAAGGTGTGCAGGTGTGTTGTGGTGCGTTGACACATTGAATTACATTTTTTTTTCTTATTCTCCCATTAACTCCATCTCACTGCACGCCCAGCTATACAATTTTTGGGGGCTTAGAATGAGCACTTCAGTGCCACATCACATTCTTGACTGCCCAATAGAATATCTCTTTCACTTTCATCGTGCTGCTCATGGGCGAGATCTCCAGTTGCAGTTCGCGTGATACAACCTCGGCACAGGAAAAAAAAAGCCACGACATAAGCCATTACCAGATTTTATGGTGATTTTATGCTAATCCTCTTGCGGATGCATTGCGTGTGATGCAAGCACTGGACAATCTTCTGAGCCCTTTTTTACGCTCGCGCGATCTTCAACCCGTGGCGCATTGAGACATCGAAGAGCAGCGCGAGAGCTTTTCCGCGCGCCACAAAAGTCCTTGGAAGCTCTCTGAGCGCGCGCTTGTCTTCATTTCCCGCATGGTGGAGAGATGACAAAACATAATCGTGAATCACAGATGCAAGATGTGGAAGATATTGGTTCAAGGATTGACCACGCAGAAATACTGTGTTAATCGCTGTTTTTTTCTTATGCGCTCATATACCATCGCGCCATGATATAATGTGGCCAATCAACAAAAATACCACCGTCTTGAGTCGTGTTAAGAGATACGAGCCTGAAAAAAACACCCGAGAGATTGTGTAAAAGAAATTTTCATAAAAATTTCTCACACTCACACACAACTGTCGGGCGTCAAAATACAGTCATTCGCTTCCAATCAGTGAATGGACGCTGTAACAATTGGCACCGCGAATGCATCGATCAGAGGATGTTGGGAACAGCTGTTGCAATATTTGGTTGGCTTTCTCAGTGTATATATATTGCAAAAAGCTCACCAACACCGCGCGCTTTTTTCCCACCCATAGTATCAATTCCAGGGTGATCTCGCCGAGACTATTGGCTGTTGGCAAATATCTCCACTGGGCACGTCAGTGTGTTTCAATGATCTGTGCTGATCGTCCACGGATCCAACTCGTTTCGCACACTTTAGCTGGCCAGCCCGAGGAGAAGGTATAAAAGCCCCGGCGAAACTTTGCAATCCTCATTTAGTCACTGGAACGCCCTGAGTGTCGCGCCGCGATCAACCCTTGCGCCTCGTCCTGATTCTCTGTGCCGTTTGTCAGTGAAACTGTGCGTTTTAGTAAAATTGTGAGAAACAGCAAAAATTCATGATCAACTTTTAGACAAAAATTTGGTGAATAAATTAAAATTTTGCAACAAAAAATCCGCGATATTTAGTGACATTCGAGGTAAAACCACGAAAAAGAATTACTAAAGATAATTGTAAAATTTCGGTGTTTAATTTGTTGTTTAATCATTTAATTTCTCCTTGAATTTCTCTTTCACTAACTAATTAGTTTTGTGGTTTATTTTCCTCGAATTGTGATTAAATTTAATAATCACTTCTTTGGATAAAACTCAATTTTTCACTAAGAACGTCACTGTGAACATCATTTGCAAACTTGTGACTCAAAAAATGTGCACAGAAATTAATTGGTTTTCTAATCCAAAGAAGTGTTGAAGAAAATCTCTAAAAAACACCAATTTAACTTTGAATATTGCCTCTTTTCCGCTAGGCGATCTTAAGTTCTTCAGGACTTGCGATCTTTAAAATAAAAATTGAAGGAAGCAAGGAAGCAGATTTAAATAATTAGTGACAACTTCCAGTGACCACAAACGGCCTCAAGATGATGGGCTTCTTCAGATTCGACATGAAAAACACAAGTAAGCATAAATTGAAGGAAATATTTTCGAGAACAGAAATCTAACACTGAGATTCCGTGAGTTCGTGGCGCTTAAGGACGACTAACAATTGGTGCCACAGCAATCCATCACTGGATGATGGTGGTTGGCAAAAAAGGAGGAAAATCGTGTGATTTATGTGTGACAATTGGCAGAGAGTTTAGCTGTGAGGTTCAGGGACTACCATTTAGGATAATTGAGACACCTTTGATTGTCTCGCTGATCACGATATACATTTAATTTCCCCATCAATAACTCTCCTGCATTGTGTCGGTGCACCGCACTCGCTGAAGCATATAAATTGCCAGACAATGATCGCCAGCATAAGCCCCATTGACACAGTGGGAGAGAAGAGATGAATTTTCAAGATCACGAGAGTGTTTCATAAATTTATAAATTATTCGCGAGATGGTTCAATACACTTGGCGCATGATCGGTGGCTGTTGGGCCGCGGATGTTGGAAGACATGAAAAAAAGATCTCAATGCGACTGTTGGCAAGGCGAAATTTTGCCCACATCCCAAGGAAGAATCAATAATTTATGCCTGGCTTGAGTTCATTTCCCAGCACTTCCTGTACCACTGACGACTTTTTTTTCTTCACGATGATTAATCGACCTGTTTGTGCGCTGCTTTCTTCACGTGGCAATTCGCGATCGCGATCTCATCCAAGGATTCTCTGGTCGATCGTGTCAATGATCGCCCTTTGATGATCGCGCTCGTGCGCGCAAAGGAAAGTTGTGTCACTGATCACGATTACCCAAACGGGCGGATGCAAATTGCAATTGCATCGCCGATAAGTGTCCTGAAATGAGAGCATTTCGAGTAGGGATAAAAAGTGGTTTAAGCGCGCAGAATTAAGAAATCTCCGCTTTTCCAATTCCGCGTAGATTTCGGTGTTGCAAGCCATTACGAAGAATGTGTACTTAATAAAATGAGAGAGTGCTTTTTAATTGGGCATGGGAAAAACAGGAAAATCTGATCGCATTGGCAAAAGTGGAAGGAATTCTCTCTTTTTTCTCCTCAATCTGTGTGCACTTTTCCCTCAATCCGCGCACCATTGCACACACATCAATCGCGATCGCACGTGGAGTTGGGCGAGTGTATTGGAGGAAAAAGACGAAGAGGTGGGAAAAAATCCGTCTATTATGAAACGACATATAAAAATTACCTCTCATATGACAATATTTGAGGTGACGAGAGTGAGAGTGAGTCAGTGAGGATCGCGAATGCAGTCGTGATATTTCTTCCAGCGCTCAGTGAAAAGCGCCCAAGAAAGCGCAAAAAGACTTTTATCGCCGCGCACCACACCTAAATGATCTTGAAACCAGTGGGAACCTTCGCTTGTGGCGCGACGGATATTTGGCGGGAGATCACCAGCAAAGATCGCAATCTTTGAGGTTGATCTTGAGTGTGTCTGCCTAGATAGCGTCCGGAAATCCCTTATCGTGAGCACACATGATTTATACAGCGATAAGTGGATTACTTTGGGTGAGATAATGGAGAGATATGCGCTTGTGAGAGTGTTAATAAGGCGCGCGATGGGTGTGAATATCAAGCGTAAATGTTAAGTAATACCTTTCCGAGAGTGCCTCTCTTGATCTCTTTCACATCACATCTTGAATATACATAAGATTGCATGCGACCCAATGAAGAAACCAGTTTCATCTCCGCCGATGGACCACCGTGTGAGTCTTTCCGCGCGCGCGCACGATCACTCGATCAGGGGATCAACAGGGCGATCACTGCACCGGCCTTGACCGATAATGGTTAATCCATAGTGGAGAAGAAAGCGCTTTTTCCTCACTTTCAGCACTAAATTCATGTGTTATCTCGACAAGTGTCAATTAACATTCTCATCTTATCGGGACAAAAGATCGTCTGTCTCTCAGATTGTCTGTGGACGAAATGAATAATCTCAATTAACGCCAACTCATGCAGTTTCCACATGAATTGCCCGAGGAGTGGTTCAACTTGGAGAATTTCTCCGAAATCTCTCGCAACCCAAAATTTCCCATGATTCACCGCGTGTCCTTTGGCGGAGTTTGCGCTGATCTCGTGGCAAAAAGGGCAAATAGACAGGGAAATATGTGCCAAAACTTGTCACCTTGACCAATATTTCGGACCTCAACACTATAAGTGAAATTGCAAAGATTCAACCTCACAGATTATACGTGTCATCATTGAGAATTTTGCCATTTGACGCACCGAAATGGCTCAATTCTTAATACCTTGCGCAATTAACCCAGACTTTAACTTAAGGTCATCTAACCGCGGGGCTTTCCGTTCGCTATCAATTGATTTGGAAGTGATGTCACTGGATCTCACACAGTATATCATTTTTATTATTCCTCCCAATGCTCGATAATTGGTCTAACAGCATATATTAATACACCTTAAATTACATGAGAAAAGATCAATTGTAGAGCGGCGCCTGAACAATTGATTGAACAAAAGCCACACGTGCTCGTCCTCAATGGGAGAGTTTATATGCAATTATAACTCTAAATATTAAACAAAACTCACAATGTCAGGCATTGTGTAGATATTGTAACGATTACGCACACATTTTTTTCTGTCTTCAAGTTCAATGTGAGCTTTTATCGTTGAAAATCTTGAGGATGAAAGCACGCGCACGTTTATCGCGTAATTTCTTTGCCCATCATCAAGAGCTTTTTGATGTCTTTTCTGGCTGACGAAAAGCTCTCACACATGCGCGGCAAATTGTTACACTTGGTGGAGTAATAATAGTCCATCGCTTAATCACCGGCTGTTGAGCATGAAAGCCACTTTGGTGTAGGTCAAGAATGGCAATTTCCTTTGTGCGCGCAAAGGCATCACTGGATGATCTCTGATCGATTGCTGAGATGGCGTTGAAGTGACTTCAAATCAAAATTAACTAATTAACAACTCGCACTGGCAAGTGCCAATTTGTCGATGCTGATCTCTCTGAATATTGTATTGTCTCTTGTTTGTCTCCATTGCAGATTTTGCAAAAAACATCATTGTCGCATTTATTTGCATAGCATTATCGTGCGCAATCTTCGTCTTCGATCCCCTGCAGATGTTTATAGACGTCGTAAGTATACTTGAGGGTGTGTGAAGTGGTGGAGCGCGTGGAATTAATTGAGGGCTTTTCCTTCTTCACCACACACAGCAACTCAATCTCTCGCAGCACTCCTTTCTCTTCTGGCTCTTCAAGAACCCACCCATTGGGGTGTACATCAGCGTCTACCTGTTCAACGTCACCAACACCGAGGCCTTCATCAGTGGCAAGGATAAGAAGCTGAAGCTGGAACAAGTGGGTCCGTTTGTGATCGAGGAGCGCCTGATTCACGTGAATTGCACCTTCAATGCCAACAACACACTCACCTACACGCCACTGCGCACTGTCACCACGAGGGAGGATCTGTCCGTGGGAAATGCCTCGGAAATCGTCCTGCAGATGCCCAATATCGTCGCCCTGGGCATCTCCGCAGCCGCCGCCGAGATGTCCTTCTTCTCCAGCTTGGCCGTCAGTTCCGTCCTCAAGTCCTTCAATGCTGAGCCTGTGATCAATGTCACTGCGCACGACTTCATGTGGGGCTACGAGGATCCTCTCGTCTCGATAGCCTCGACAGTGGTTCCTAGCTTCATACCCTTCAGCAAGATCGGTCTGGTCGACCGGCTAACCTCCCAAGGCGTGGACGTGGTGACCATGAACCTGCCGAGGAAATCCTCCCAAAGAAACCCAGAAAATACCACGGAAAGCAGCAATTCTTCCACGTCCACAGCTCGGGATTACTCCATCGACATGTGGAACGGGAGTCCAGGACTAGGACACTGGAGCTACAACAACGCGCCTGGATATGAGGAGGAGAATACGCCGTGCAACACTCTCAGAGGGACATACGACGGAGGGCTTTTCCCCAAGAAGTTCCGCAAGAATGAGCAATTCAGCGTGTACAGGAAGGCCTTCTGTCGGAAGATGAGGATCGAGTACACGAAGGAAGACAAGCTAGGCCTGCTGCCAGCCTCGTGGTTCCACTTTGCCAAAGACATCTTCTACAACAGCCACGACGATCCGGACTCGGAGTGCTACTGCAGAGACAAGAAGTGCCTGAAGCAGGGCCTAGGAGACATCAGTCCGTGCTACTACAGTGAGTTGAAGAGTCAAACTTTCTCCGCAATATTATTATTTAACATCTCTTCCTCTCCTTTACTTGACATTTAAAAAATTATCTCGCATATTTGAAAGTATCTCTGTCGAGATCGAAATCAATATATACTGAATCAACTTTTTCCCCAGATATTCCTCTCGCCGTGTCACTACCGCACTTTTACAATTCAGACCCGACTCTGCTGGACCGGATCGATGGTCTGTCACCGGACAAGGAGCAACACGAGTCCGTTCTTGCCATCCAGCCGCAACTGGGCGTGGCAATGAAGGCCACAATGAGGGTTCAGCTCAACCTTATGATAGGGCAGACAAGGTTTCACTCCCGCGTGAGTCCCTTCAACGACATGGCGGTACCCATTCTCTGGGTCGAAGTGGTAAGTTATCCATTCTGTATGGTTTACACGTGAAGAATACGCAAAAGTCTATGAATTTTGCCAAAAGAATTTTACAGAAATAAGTTTAGAAGTTAATTCATTGTCTTCTTTGCAGTCCATGGACGACTATCCCTTCTATTTGACTGCAGTTCTCACAATCTTCCTCGTCTTTATGCCACCGCTTCAGGCCATTCTTGCCTACATTCTGATCATTGTGGGCTCGTCCATCATCATCGCCAGCGTCTTCACGTTCATCATCAACACCAAGTCTTACTACGACGACAAGAACAAGAAGATCCGCTACTCCTCAGCCAGCGTTGTGCCATTCTTGCAGCCAAAGGGCCTCGACAGGGACATCGACAACAATCTGCTGGAGAAGCTCCACAGCATAGAGACTCACGACTGAGTTGCCGAAAGCTCCAGCAGAGCTTTGCCGCTTTGATATCACCATCGATTTTTTTTTTACAAATTCTAAGTGCTATAAGACTGTGATAAAGGTTGCGTCAGAGGGAAAATATTCTTCTATATTTAATTACCTTTTTTTATACAATTAAATGGATGATGGTTCGTTCCATTGTGGGCCTCTTATTGATGGTTCTTCTATTTAAGATTACACTCACTTCTATCCTTTTTTTTGTAATTTATTACTGACTAGATATTATTTGTAACTCAGAGTTTAAGCCATTATAATGTCCTACATTCACTAAATTCGACCATTTGTTGTGCGAAAGTTCTATGAGCGGATCAGAAGTAGTAATCCGGATACTGATCGTCGCGCGGATCGCCAGAGATCACGCCGGAGATCCACTGAACGTAGAAGGAGATGCGCGTGAAGACGTCGGGCAGCTTCAGGGAGCAATTCCAGCCGAAGGACGTGAGCCCCACGAGGATCCACGGCCCCGAGCGACTCTCGCGACACTGCAATCCGCCGCCAGAGTCGCCCACGCACGGCGCGCCGGCCTTCTTCTCCAGCTTCCCGCCGCAAATGTGACCCTCGTGGATCCGGATGTGATCGCCATAGGCCTGTTGGCATCTGGATAAAGCACTCAGTTAGACTTGTATGCACAGAAGACGCAAATGGAAGATGATAGCTTGAGTAATTGTATTGTTTCTCATTAATCATAGAGATTTGATTATACTGAATTATGAGATTAAGTATGGAAAAGTGAAACAATGGAAGAAAAATAGTAAACACTTATTTTGCAAACAACATTAACGAAATTGATTTATACACAAACACAACACATCGTAATGAAAGTTGTGTTACTCACAAAATGTTGCACAAATTATCTTACTTTGTATTAGAAATAATAGGAACTCGGGATTGAAGCAGGATATTTGTCAGATCGCCCTCGATGGTCTTCTTGCCCCATCCAGTCACACGGCAGTCATGGTAGAGTGGCAGCTGCGAAAGAGGGAGAGAATCTCTTTGAGTGCAGAGCAACAGAAGACCCTGAAAATGCCAGGGAAAGTGTGACAAAAAGGCCCGAAAGACAAGTGTATCAATTTACGTGACTGAAGCGGCTGATTTACCGCTATATTGTCTTCTGCACAGCTCGCGATGCGAGAGAGAGAGTAAAAGTTATCGTGACTCTGAACGTGCTGAGTGGCCATAAAATCACCTGCTGGTATAAATTGAAGTCATCTATTGTCTTGGAGCCGAAGAAGAGGTCATTTTCTCTGTTTGTTATGTGGCGATCTTGGAAGAATTTATCATTTCGTCGCTTCTGCGACTTTCGCGGTGGTTTGCGCGTGAACATGCTGAACAGCCTGCGGAGGAAGTTGTCGTCACGATCGTCGGCTAGAGTCTCGTCGGCGCCGGCTTGGCTGGGCAGGCAAATTGGTCGCACAAATGAGGGATAATGAGTGTCGGCGGGTCGTGAGAGGCGCATGAGGACGAGATCATGCTGGTAGTTCTGGTAGTTGTCGTGCATCACAATCTTATCAATGGGGATCCGCTGCTCTTGGCCAGACTCCCACGATCTGTCGTGATCACCCAGGATGGCTGTCCACAGCGCCGGCAAGGGCAGATTGAAGAGGTCGCTGGAAAATTGAATTGGAGGCGATAAAATCACTCTGATTATACCAAAATAAGTGTCTTTCATTGATGAATCGTGAGTGAAAAATCGTCAGATTTTATCGACAATCAAGAAAATAATGCGATAAATTTGTAATTAGTCCAGAATAATTGCTAAATTTCCATCAAAATAGTCTCTAGAAGATTGAAGTTATTAAAACCGTGTAAATTCCCAATTAAATCCTCTGAAATCGAAAGATTTCGACTATTAAATTCAATTTTAGGCCGTATTCCAGCAGTGATAAAGAACATCATCACAGATTCAGACTGAGAATCCTTAAATTTCACTCCTTTTGAGCAGCAAAAGTCCTTACTTGTGGACACAGTGAGCAGCTGACAGGATCCAATTCCTGTCCACCAGAACAGCGCCGCACCAGTGCCCTAGGAAGCCCATGGAGGGATGCAGCAGCTCGAGGGACACTTGCCACGGGAATTCTCCCTCTTCCGTCGGATTTCCCGCGATGATCTTGCCTTTCCTCCGGGCGCGACTCTGCGATCTGTGCCTGGAATTCTCACCATCTCTCGGTTGGCGTCTGAGCGGCTGAACACCACAAGAGTCTGACAAAGAGATGCAGAAGACTTGTAAGGAGAAAATCCACCCAACACGGAGGCTGTAATTTCGTTCCGCGCCATATAAAAATTCGATTTGAGCGAAAAAGTGAGAGAAACAATAATAATCTGCATGGTAAATTCCATAATTTACAACTTGGCGCCATGAAATGCCAATGATTTATTCTTAATACAAGACACACACAGAATCAATGGGTGTAAAAGGTGGAAAAGCTAATGAAAGTGAAAAGCAATTTAATCCCATCGTCACAGTGTGTTTGCTATTAAGAATTAATTTACGGGCGAGTGTATGTACTTGACGGGTAAAAGTTTTTCATGGACGCGCCGCCCGAAAGCCGAGAGGCTTTTTGGGGAAAAAAGTGAAATTGCAATGAGACAAGCGCACAAGAGATCTTTTTTTCTTCTCCTCTCAGTGTCTCTCTCTATACTTATACCCAGAGCCAAATACCTAATCTTCCTATATCTACGTCTTCGCGGTTAAACACAATAATTGGTGGAAGAATGAGCGAAATAAATGTGAAATTACTATGGAGATCTTTTTGCCACGCTTTTCCCTCTTTGACACACTGGCGAAGGGGACAAAAAAGGCTGGCCGGAGGAGAGTCTCTTTCGTGTGGGCACACTATGGCCAAATAATTGGAATTGGTTGTGGTCAGAGGCGACAAAAGAGGCTGATGAATTCGATTAGGCCCGATAAATAGGCAATAACCGACAATTTTGCCTTCTGCAATGACCATGTGAGAGTCCAGCGAAATGCCCTACAAATTGAATTAACCATTGCACACATGATCGCCACGCGGGGAAAAAAAGCGCCTAAACACACAAGAGATTGAGTGGCAAAAAGAAACTTAAAATAGAACAACAACTCGCCAACCCGGAAGCAGAATCAATGAGATTGAATCCGGTGATTAGATGGCATGAAGGGATTGAAGCATTATTAAATTTATCAATGAGGTGAGTTTTTGCAGCCACTCTTGATCTCTTTCTCTCTCTTTCATCACTTTTGTTCCTTTGACTCAACTGTTTTGTTAATTACTTGGTTGGGAGAAATTTTAATTGCAAATTTATTGCACGTGAGATCAGTGGAGGATGATGGAAAAGCTCATGCTGTTCGCTGTTATTACATTTAATAATTGTTTATTTAGCTTTTGCAAGATCACGGCTTCTTGTAGACGATCGAAAAGTTGATCATAGATCACAATGAACTTATGATGATCTTGTGTATGTCTTATAAACTGCTATCGAGGGAAAATATTGATAGAATCGATTGGAAGTATTTCGGAGTGAAAGTGTTCCAATATTTGGTTTAGAAAAGCTCATTTAAGACGAATTACTGCAAAAAGTTAAATTTCTTTGCAATTTTTTCCCTTGAAAAATCAATCTTATCTTAGATAATCAAATATAACATCAAAAATACATAATAGAACTTGAAAAAAATGTATTTTTGAAGAGTTTTTCTTTGGTTTTCACTTTAAATTAAGAATTTTGAGCTTGAATGTGTATTTTTCAGGAGTTTCTCAAAGCGATGCTCAGGTTTTAGGCACATAATCTCCCCCTTGGACAGAACTTGAGAAATATTTGCTGTCTTTTCGATCGAAAGTGATCGTTAGTCTAATTTTTTTTGCAATCAGGTGTGAAAAAAGATTTTTATTTCCCCCAATAAAGAATCACTTTCTGATCACTTCTCGGACGATCTTTTGCATTCGAAAAAAAAATCATAAAAATCTTGCAAAAAGTTTGTAATCTTGTATTTATTGCCTCTCAAAAATGCCACGAGAGTAAAAAGTCCGCAATCTAAGCAGAGTATGCAAAAAAAGCTCCACGCTTCACTCATTGATCACATTTTGCATTGTTTTCTTTCACATCCAATTCCTCTTCAAGTGAACATCTTCGGCATAAACAAACCTCTTCGCATCTTCCAGGTTTTGTACACACACACGTCTCTGACCTACATGCATTAATATTGTAATAACAACAAATAAATGTGATGTTTTTACGCATAGAAAAATAATCGTCATTGTGTGGCAATAAATAATTGTACATTTCCTCGAGACGTGCGGATTTTCACTTTCACACTTTTGACGTAGACAATTGAAGAAGATGCTGAAGATGAAAATGCGAAGAGTTTTCCGCAATTCACGGAATGTATTAACACAGTTTCTTCTTCATCTACACACCACTTCCCCATTGATCATTTTGATGCATTTACCTGAATTAAATTTATCACCTGCATTTGTACAATTTATGAGCACGATGAGAATAAGAAATGATGAACAGCAGCAGAGGAACAGAAGTGTGTTGGAATTATTCATTTTCCCGTCACTGCAGATTACTTGGGAAGATCATTAATAACGCCTGAAGAGGGCTTTCTTCTCTCTCTCTCTGTGCCACTCGATCGTTTTTCCACCCAGAAGATAATGTAGAATTCTTTTTTGCACACCGCGCGTCACAAGATTATTTCCTTACAATGTTGCCGATCATTGGCAATTGGGAGTGTTGCATTATTATTGCATTCGGAATTGAAACTGCACTCGCGATTAAAGTACTTTTTCATGCCCACGATCGCATGATCATCCAGGAATGTCTCATCAACACCTTCACTTTGTCTTCACTGCGCAAATCACTTTGTCCAGAAGCACGTGGGAAAACGCAACTCAGCGCAATCCTCTGGGCCCTCGATCGACTTGATCGGTCTACTCGCGATCACGGCTGTCAGCGGAATGGCGGCTGGTGCCGGAACAATTGCCATCGACTTCTTCGGCGCAGAGGTAAAAGTTGATCTCACACGGAAACCGATCGCGCGCGCGCGGAGAATGAAACTTTGTGGGGCTTTTCGCGCGCGAAAGATCCACAAGCACATCGCGGGGCGAAAGAAGAGAAGTAATTTCACTCTTCAGCGGCGATCCCATGCATACACAATTTTCATTTTCCATTGTGACCACCCGAGAGCGCAGCGCGCCTCGTGATCAATGCTGAGAATTAATTGATCTGGATTCTTGTGGGAAAGTCACACAAGAGCGCAGCATAGATTTAATTAAATTCCATTTTTAAACCAATGCAGAAATCGCGATTGAGAGCTTTTTTGTCCACACAAGAAAGTGATTCCGCGTTCAAATGCTTCTGCTCTCTCCGGTGTCTCCATTCTTCGTGTTCGACATATTATTGACCAAATCGCGTGATAACAACGGGAAAAGGCTCTTGGTCGAGGCGTACAGTGGAAAACACAGCACAAGGGGGAGATAATATGGCTAAATCTGTGCAACACGCCAAAATTTACCTGAAAAATAGTCTTAAATCATTGGAAAAATGATTGAAAATGCTATTTTTGAGATTATGTTGCAACTTTACACAAATTGTAGATCATTATTTAGTTTAAATGTACAGAACGGCAACTCTTTCTCATTCTGTCAATTATTCAGCATAAAAAAGACTTTTACACCATTTCTGACTGTATTATCTCCCCCTTGGAACAATGCATTATTGATTGAAATACCGTTTTTGATCGCAGTCAAAGAAAATTAGAGACAAAGATGATTCTAATATTACTTCAGTCACAAATAGAGACATTACCATTAATTTTTTTTATTGTACAAAAGCGTACAAAGTGTTCAAATTTTAAATTTCCTCCTTGAATGCATATAAACTTGACCTGCAGAGTTTCGCGCGCCGATCAAGTAATGTTCAATTGGAAAATACAGTTGAAAGAATGGAGCTTTGTACATTTGGGCGTTTATTGGAAAAGTGGCTGCGATTGTCGTCTTTGAGAAAGTAAATAGATTAGCCGGCAAATTGGACGAAATTGCCAGTCGGCAGCAAATTCCATCCACTTTTGCCATCGCCAAGATCACTGGTGGTTTACTCAGTTTCACTTCTTCGCGGATGAACACGTCGCCAGGAGATCGTTAAGCCTCATCTTCAGGCCCTCAGCTTCAGCGGCTCTCGGATGAGAAGGAAAGTGATTAATGGGCTCCGCGAGACGATCTTGAGGATCACCCTCTCGCGGGGATCCAACACAGCCACGCTCGCCAGAGAGTGAAAGTGCTGGCCGAGATCGCATGCGCCGGGAAAACACTCTGTGGGAGATTTCTCGGTGGTGTTCGTGGCCAAACTGGCACGAACACAGAGACACGCTCCGCGGCTCTGGCCTCGCAGAGCCTCCATCTCGAACGCACCGCGCCAGTCTTAGCTAACCGGTTGATCGCGAGTTAGCGTCGCATTCCTTCAATCCGTCGCTTTGTCTCACATTTCTTCCAAGCTCACCCGGTTATTCCCAGGGATATTCCTCAAATTTCACCCCTGAAAGCTTCGAAAGTAAGTACTTGTCCTGGTGAGAGGGAATTTCTAACTGCGCGTCATTAATTAAACACTCCCAAGAGTTGCATAATTCAACGCACAGACATAGACAACGCCTGGAGAGTAACCTTCGTTACCACAAGAGCATAACATTAGCACTCTCATTGCCCACAATCTCTTTCCATGCAAATAGACAGATTCAATCAACCCAGTCAACCCACAAGTGCAGAGATAAGATTAATGGTCTCTCTTTTGACCGTTTCCCAGGAGTGGCAATATGAAACTCTACGCTGTGTCCGATGGACCCCCGTCGCTGGCCGTCCGGATGGCTCTGAAGGCCCTGGACATTCCCTTCGAGCTGGTCAGTGTGAACTACATGATTGGCGAGCACATGACGGACAAGTACGCCGAGATGAATCCGCAAAAGGAGATTCCCGTGCTGGACGACGACGGATTCTATCTGCCTGAAACCGTGGCGATTCTGCAATATCTCTGCGACAAGTATCGCCCGGACTCTGAACTCTATCCCAAGGATCCCAAGGCTCGAGCCATCGTCAACCATCGGCTGTGCTTCAACTCAGCCTTCTACTACAGCAGCATTTCCATGTACGCGGTGAGTAAAGTCACTCCATCAGATTGAGCTGGGCTTAATCCTACTCTAATCTGTAATCACGCAAAATCGATTTGAGATATCGACAAAAGTCGCTTTGAAGATTAAAAGGCTCGTATCTCCGGTTATAATTATCCAACAGGGTTTGATATAACCACCGCTTGGAGCGCTAAAGTAGCCAAATTCATTTCAAACTTTAAACTCGATTATCTCGAGAACAAGACGACGAATTTTCTTTAAATTTCAATATGTTGTAGCTGAAGTTGAGACCTTTTCAGCGAACCCCCATTTATGGGGGTTGAAATTTTAGGAGCGGAGATATGGAGGGTCAAATTTTACACCTTTCTAAAATTTGATTATCTCTGCAGTTGGCGCCGATTTTCTACGACTACAAACGCACCGAAGGCGGTCTCAAGCGTCTCCACATCTCTCTGGCCACCTTCGAGACTTACCTTAAGCGCTCCGGGACAAAATATGCCGCCGCTGATCACGTGACCATCGCAGATTTCACTCTCATCACAGCCACTTGCGGCCTGGAGGCGATCAACTTCAGCCTGGACGAGTATCCCGTGCTGAAGAACTGGTACGAAACCTTCAAGAAGGAGTACCCCGACTTGTGGGCCATCGCCGAGGGCGGCATGAAGGAACTGGCGGCGTTCGAGAAGAATCCACCAGATCTCAGCCACATCAACCACCCCATTCACCCCGTGAGGAAGAATTGAGGAGGTGTTTTCCGTTTGAATCTTTTCTGCATTTTTTTTTTCTTTCTTGTGTCCTTTTGTTCACATACACGCGTGAAATGAAATTTATCTTTGCACGGAGGACAATGAGAGTTTTTCTCTGGTTCGCCGTCACTTTAAGCACAACATCATTATTCAAGTGTCCACGAATTACAGCTAAGAGGTCCTAAGTCTTGCAGTTTAGCCCACGAACTTGCCGCCCATCTGGCTGGGCTTGCGCTCTGAGAAGAAATTCCTGAGGATCACGACCTGCGACACGGCGATGATCAGCATGGCGCACAACTCGAAGAAGGACCACCAGAAGACGCGCTCGTTCAGCTCCTCGGCGCGCTTTCGGCCTGAAACGCGAGTCAGAGAGAGAGATATTTACAGACCTGCCCCAGAAAACAGCCCGCAGAGTCACTCACCTTGCGCCTCGCGCAGGCGATGGTGGGTCTGATAGTCCAGAATGTGGTTGAGACTCTTGTGCACCTCCTCGGCGGACGTCTGGAACTGCGTGAGAACCGTCGCGTGCTCATTGATGCCGGGCAGCACCGGATCGCCATCGCCCACTTGGAAGTCCATGTAGACCAGCTTGTGCGAGAACGTTGAGAACTCATTGCTGAAGCACGCCACGTAGACTCCAGTTTCCTGCAATTGCAACAACAGAAATTAGCGTGAGGATTTTGCATCTCAAGAGTCTCAAGATTCAAGTTCAAAACTGGTTTTCTATAAATATTTCTTAAGTTTAAAAAAAAACTGCTAAGCAAGGTCAGTTTAATGAGTTTGTAAAAATGCAGAAAAACACCTGATTATGCAAAGGTAAAAGTCTAAATACTTCATTGACTATTTTCACTATCAAAAGACTCAGAAAATTATTACTTCTCTGGTAGATCTTGTGTTAACAGTTCTATTATGCCATATTGTTGATAAAACAAATACACTGATGAAAATCATCTAATAAGAAATTTCTGCTTTTGCTCTCTTCCACGAGGAAAAGACGTCCGGATATTGATTATATCAACAAACCCAATCTTAATGACTTCCCAGAAATGCCTGATTAACTGATAAAAAAATCAATAATGTACACCGCATGGGAAATTCAGTGACCCTTGGCGGTTCGTTGGCTTTCTTGGGAACTCACCGCGGCTGTGAACTGGTGAGAATCGAATTGCGTCTTGATCTGTCGGTAGATGATCTCCTTCTTCGGGGACTCCAGCGTCACATCCACGTCGTATTGCCCGCCGGTGACGACCTGAAAGCGGGGAAAACCGTGTGAGTGGAGAGAATACATATCGGGAAATGTTTTGGGGCCTCACCTGGAACTCCAGGGTGGCGGACTTGTTCTTCTCGATCTCCTGGTAGAAGCACTCCCTGGCATTGTCCGGCAGTTCGAAGGTGAGCTCCACGGCGTGAGCGGCCCTGTGCAGGTAGAGGAGGACGGTGCAGGTGAGGAGGTGGATTATACTGTTCATGGTTGCTGTGGCTGTGGCGAATCCCTACGGCTTAATGCTAGAAATACAGGAGATTTGCAATCCCCGGAACACACACGTAAGAACCGCCCGACGTCTGGACTTGACAGCACAAGATGGCCTCCTTGGCGCCGCCAGCGACACCACCATACGTGGCCAAGAAACGTCATCAACTCCCGGACAGCCGAAACGACAGAGCGCAAAAAACGACCAAAAAATGGGTCAAGGAGTAGAAATATTTAATTTAACATGCACTCTGGGGCGTCTTTAGAAGAGCACGAGCAGGGAGAAGATGACATAGACCAGAGCGCAGGGATATGCTATTAGATATCGTTGATTCACGTCGCCGGTCATGAGGCAGAAGATTTTGCTGGCGCCCACGGTGGCCAGGATGATGGCGCAAATGGCCAGAATCATGCCGAACATGCTGTTGAGGGACATGACAATGCCCAGGATGGACAGCCACACGATCGGAAGGATGCTGTAGCCCAGAATACTGGCCACACCCGTCAGCGACACGAAGTTCTCCGTTGCATTGCACATGAGCGAGATGAGGGCGTACATCACCAGCACAGACATTATGCAGAGGCCGTAGATGTAGCCAAAGTGCGCCCCCTTGCCGGACACGAAGAGACAGGCGGCCAGCGTGAGGCAGAACGTGATGGGACCCGCCAAATCAGTCTCCTTGAAGAAGTACTCGGCACTGGTGGTGAGTCCGCCGGCATGGAAGGGATTCAGCACAACCAGAGACTTCTCCCAGATCCGCTCCGGGAAGATTTCCAACTCCTCAAGCAGTGGGGGCTCGTCAAATTCATTGGTTGACGTGGAACCCTGACCACCGAAGCCGAGAGCGTCCAGTGGCTCTGGTGTGAAGATGTTGGGCTGTTGCTGGCCATATGGGGCTGGATAAGATGCCTGGCTGTAGGCGGAATTGTCAAATGACTGGAAATCTGCGGTGGGATTGAGGAAAATCACACTTTATCGACACTTTCCGGGAGACTACTTTGAGTTGAATCTAACCTAATTGTTGCGACTGATCAGTGAATCCCGTGTTCACGTCGTATGTGTTGTACTGCGTGTTGGTGTTGCCCCAGTACTGATCCTCCGGATAGTGAGACATCTTCTCACCGGTTCACTTTCCCAAATCCGCTGCTGAGAATCGCGAAAGACCGCGAGAAAAGCACACACGCAAATATTTGTTGACAAATTCCAACTCACCACACAACAGTGCTGCCGCGCAATCGGGTGTCTTCGGTGGAGTGGTGAATATCAACGACGATGGCAAACGACGATTGACGCGAGAAAAGCAAAAATACATTTTATCTCCTGTGCCTGTGGTTCATTTTATTGAATTTGTGCGGGCAGATTCGGTGTTATTGATAGTGTTTCCTCCTGCGGGAAGAGTGCACGAGGCGTGTGTGAAAATGGATGAGTTCGCGCTGTGCTGGAACAACTTCCAGGACAATATTGCCACTGGTTTCCAGAATCTCTTCGATCGTGGCGACTTAGTGGACGTCTCTCTGGCTTGCGACGGCAAAATTTTGCGTGCCCACAAGATTGTCCTGGCCATCTGCAGTCCCTACTTCCAGGAGATGTTCATCACCAACCCCTGCAAGCATCCCATCAGTGAGTATTTGTGTCTGTTGTGCGCGAGGACGAACATTGTTGACACTAGCTGGCGTTGAGAGAAGTGCCGAGATGTCCTGGCAATGATGACGGTCATCATTGTGTCAGGAGGCGCTCTTGTTTATCATCAGGAAAAAAAAACACTCCTTGCCACCCGCAATTTGCGCCTCTTTTTGCGCACAAGACAATAAGAAAATCTCCGCCGATAGCCAAAGACGCTCGAGGGGAAACGAGGGCATATCATAAATTACAGTGAAAGATAAAATTTTTCTAATATCTTTATCTTTCCAGTTGTTTTTTGAGCTCTTTGACTTGTGGCCGGACTGAAAAGGCACACATTATTGATACCCTCTCTCTGTCTCAAGTGAGAATTTCTCATGACTCGCAGATTCTCCGTGCGTGATAAAAGATATTAGCGGCGGCATTGATATCAAAAAAAAGTCCCTCTCTCTCGCCCACACCACGCAAGGAAGGAATTCCTCTTCTCCCTCTCTCTCTCTGGAGACCTCAATCACTTTCTGCCCCATATATTTTGCCAGGCGAATAAAAAGCCTTACATAATACATATTTATCGACGTCAACACGATTCGCAAAGAGATTAATGCGGAAAAAAATGTGAAGGAAAAATCAGGCGCACATGCAGAGAGCAATAATAAAAAAAATTTCACCCAATCCAATCAAACAAAAAACCACACAAAATCTATCATTCCCGCGCGCGCGTCGCAGGATGATAAAAAGCCCCAGAAGCGCTCTCTCTCTCCGCCAAGGAAAGCGCGTAGGAAAGATCATCGGGCAGCAATAGAAGACGATAAGTGCATTCACAGCCCAAGATCACGATGTCGATGTAATTAATTTTTATCAAAAAGTCTCTCGCTCACTATCAATCTCTGGCCTGTGTTTGGTGGGATTATTTTCATAAACATATCGTGATGTGTTTGCTCAACAATATCAAACATTTTCTCTACACAAAAATACATTTCAAATCTTCTGCCTATGGGAAGATTTTTGGTTGAGTCAAGAGACCGACCAGAGAGTGAAAAATGTAGCTTTGGGGCTCATTTTTCCTCCCTCTTCGTTTTGAGGAAAAGAAAAAGTTTCTGTTTTTTCCACTATTAAGTGATGGTATTAATGAAAAATAACTTTGATTGGGGATTTTTTGAGCAATCAAAAAATTATTTGCACGCAAAGAAGCGTGTTTTTGCGATTGTTTACATCGTAAAGTGTAGAAAATGTGTAAAGAACTGTGTGATTGATTAATTGTTAATTCATTACATCGTTTATCATGAGATATTGAGCGCTTTCTTAACTAGTTCACAACTTTATGGCCTTTAAACACTAAAATCATTGTAAGAAAATGCACTTTGCGTTATCAGACACAGAGTGCCCTTGATTTTTCTAACCCTACTTTTTGAACTGTCTCTTCAAGCAAAGTTTTCAGTTGGAAATTATTTTAATTGACATACAACAGCTTAATAGCCTTAATAGTAATGAAAAAAGCACAAATTTACCGACTAAAATTGATTAAAATACCTAAAAATTCTCTGATTTTGTGTAGAAAAGTGAGGTTAGGTGTGTTGAATCTCGCTTTTAAGCAAATTTTAATGTCAAGACACACTTTAAAGAAGAGAAAATATTTGTCACAAAATTTTACGCTTAGCAACAACTCCGCTCAATTTATCCCAATGAAATTGTTGACGCGTAGACAATTCAACTGATTAGATACATCGTCGACAATGGTCCATCCCGTGTGTGGGCATAAGAGCTTTTATCACTCTGTTTTTGAGGAATTTATCGGTGTTTTCGGGTAGATAGCCAGTGCGATTGTGTGAGAGAAAGACAGGGAATTATCTGGCGTTGTACAAAGTTGATCACAGCGAATTTCTCGTTTGCAGTCATCCTCAAGGATGTGACTTACACGGTGATGTCGGAACTGCTGCAGTTCATGTATCAGGGCGAGGTGAATGTGAAGCACACCGAGCTGTCGTCGTTCATGAAGATCGCCGAGACGCTGCAGATCAAGGGTCTCACGACGACGCAGAAGCCGTCGTCGGAGAGGCACAATTCGGCGTCGCCCAAGGCGGCGGCCGACGGCCAAGCGGCGCAGGTGGCCGTGAGTGGCAGCAATAACAATGTGATAGAGACGAAGATCAACACGGGCGGGTATCCGAAGGCGCTTGAGGCGGGCCAGAAGCGCTCGATGGACTTCCCGGCGGACGGATTCTCCATCTATCCGCGGAAGCAGATGCGCACGCGGACGTCCGAGGGTCAGGACGAGGGTGAACTGCACTCAGCGGACTCCATGGACCACATGGCGGCCGATGAGGTCTTCCTGCCGCCCATTCCGCAGATTTCCATGGGTGAGCCGCGCTTCGACCTCAACAACGTGAAGCGGGAAAGTGTGGAGCCCATCAACAGCACAGGTGGACCAATGAGGTCCGTGCCTGGGCCGGGATTCAATCTAGAGTACAACAGCGGCGTGTATTTGAACAAAAACATTGAGTATCCCAATGAGCTGCACATGGCCAACGATTTCTCCAAATCCAACATTCACATGGACATTCCGGCGGGTGAGTTTCTCTAATCTTCTGTTCTATACTCTTGTTGTGAAGCTTAACGCCAAAGGGGGAGATAATGTGACTTAAATAAGAACACTGTTGTAAAATTGCTTAAAAGATTATTATTGACACTGCAGAAAATCGCATTTTTAATGAATTGTTAACTATTTTTAAAGGTCTAATCTAGACATATCTTAGAAGATCTCTTTAGAACAAAGTGTAGATGATTTTATTCAAATTTGAAGAACATAATCTAGCAAAAGCATTAGTAAGAATTGTTTCTGAGTGAAAATCAACCGAAATTCAGCGTATTATGCTAATTTGTTGGAAAATAAGCGGTCTGTAATTGAATAATTCAGCTTCATGAGATTTCTGCTGAACTCTAAATGATTTTTATGAGCACAATATCTCCTCCTTGGGCATTTAGATGATGGGCAAAGAGGGTCACTAATTGCAGGAGAGTTTGTACATAGTTTTGACTTCTGTGTTGCTTCTTTTGCACTCAATCCTGGTGTGTTTCTGCTTGTTTTGCATATTTTCTTTTGCTTGCCATTCATTTTCTTCACTCACTTTCATTTCGCTTTCGCGATGCCATCATTTGGATCAGGAATCATGCATCATCAGGATGAGATGAGAATGATGATTGAAAATCTACTTTTCTGTATTATTCAATCTCGTGATTATTTTTTCTCAACTTTATCTTTTATTTTAATTTAAAAATCTTGTGTGGAATTTACAACACGACGACACACTCTTGCACTCTGGGCTCGCGGAGAGTTCATGTATGTGACGATGATGATTTTCATCGTGTTTAAACATCCATTACAATGTTGGGGAAAAGGCAAGTTTTCTTCTATCATGAGAGGAGGACGCACAACTGATGAGTTGACAAGCGGCCACAGAAAATGCGATGGGGGGGAAAGGAGGGAGAGAGAGACAGAGAGATAAAGTTGATACTTATTTTGATGATATTACACAAAAATAATATCAATGATGTTAGACAAATGTTTTCTGTGCTGCTCGAGAAATATTAAGGTCAAAAGGTTAGGCACTAACTTGAACTGAGAGCCTCAGATCTCGGCGGACATTCTATATTTGACTGACTTGTGTGGCATAGAGATGAGAGTGGAGCAAAGAATATGGGAGGGAAAAAAATGAGGAGAAAAAAGAGCTAATTTTATCAATTTTATCGCAAAATATGAGATGATGTTTTTTTAGAAGGAGAGAAGAAAAAAAAGTCGTATAAAAGCGAAAAAAGTGTGAGAGAATGAAATTTATATGCGATTCTTCGTTTGTCTCTTCTCCTATTTCTCTTATTTCCTTCCTTAAAGCACTGCCCAAACACTCTAATATTAGGCTATAAGTATTCAATTTGTGATTAACACAGAAAATTTCTGAGGCGGAGGAGTTAAATCTTCTGTTATAACCTTTTTTTGGGGGGGTTTCTGGCGAGCGATGGTGGAAAAGAATGAGGAAAGTTTAATTTATTTCTGCCAGACAAATGGTTGTGGATTCTTTTAATTTATTCTTCTATCTTACCTAATTAATTACACTGCTTAATTTATAGTGTGTAGATATAAATTTTATATTTTGTCTACAATGAAAGCTTTTTCTGGTCTTTCGAAAGGGACATGCGGAACGGATGGTATTTTTTCTTCTGTATGAAAGTCTAACAAGATCGTTATTTTATGAGGGGGTAATCATTAGGAAGAATTGGATTTTTCTAGATTTTTCAGCATTTATTCTGTTTTGATCTTCTCCTATTTCTCGTAAGATTTATATGCGTGTTTCTTTTCATCTTTTAACCTATTTAAGTGGTTTAATTTGCGCTTTTTATCACTAATTAAGCATTTGCCTGTTGATTTTAATCTTTTTCTACCCAAAAATGTGTTGAAAAAGGGCAAATTGAGCAAATTTCGCGTCGCAGGAAAAGCTTCAGGTGTGTTAAAGACGTAAGAAATATTACACCGTTTGCACACTTGCTTTTTCCTCGTCGGAATTTGGCTTTTCGACACAGTTTTTAGTTGGAAATTGTTTAAATCGGAAGGCAAAAGCTTAATTAGTGACTAAAAAACATGGAAAATTGTTCTTTTCACTTGGAAATCTAATAGAACTGATAGATTTATTTCCAATTCATATAGAAACAGATGTGTTAAAGCCCTAAAGAGTTTAAGAAAGACTAATAGAGAGATTAAACTCTGTAATGATTACCCTCTTGGCTTACTAAGTAGGACTATTTCTTCTTCTATTCTTTCTTTTATATCTCTTTTGCAAGATTGAGGCGGGAAGTTTTGGGGAAGTTTTGAGGGAATTTAGGCCGATCGCCGGCTGTAGAATTGTATTTTAGTATCTTATTCTGTGTTCTTTGCAACTCTTTCTCGCCCACTGACTCGATAGCGCGCGTGAGCTCAGTTGGTTATGTTTGACATTGCCATGCTTTTGTTGATCAGGTAGCAACGTGAAGATGCTGTCGACGACGAGTCTCCTGCACGGCAATTGCATTTTCAATCGCAACAACACCGTGGCCACGCAGCAGGGCATGAAGACGTACTGGCTGTGCAAGTCCTACCGGATAACCATGTGCCGTGCGCGGTGCATCACGCACCAGGGCCGCGTGATCTCCGCCACGGGCGTGCACAACCACCAGCCGCACATGAAGGGCGCCGCGGCGGCGGGTGAGATGATGCCGGGCGCCGCGAGCATGCGACTGGCGCAGGGCATTGAGGCGTCGCCGGCGACGTCACAGCCGCAGATGGCGAGTGTGTCGCCGCAGCAGCAGCAGAGCATGAATGCTCAGCAGATGCACCAGCAGAACCACCATCACCAGGCGCCGGCGCACCACCACCAGCCGCATCCGAATGTGATGCACAACGTCCTGAGTCACAACAACCTCATGCAGCTGACCAACATGAGTCCCATCATCAATCCCGGGCAACAGCAGCAGCAGCACCACGTGAATGTCCATCAGCAGGGCATCCATGGGCCGCCAGTGCACAACAGCGGCCACCATCTGAGCCCCAACAATGCGGCGCCGCCGCAGCAGCAGCGAGGCTCCGTGGTGCAGCACCAGCAGCCGCAAGAGGCGGCCAGTCTGCATCACAGCGCCGCGCCAAGTAGTCAAGCCATGCCCGTCACGCCCACGTCCGTTGCTGTGTCGCCGGCGGCCAGTCAGCAGCAGCCGACGCCGCCCAGCGAAGAGCCTTGCCAGCAGCACGACATCCCCGTCTCCACGGCCGCCGGCCTCATGTCGCCCGGCGGCGGGCAGGCGTTCAAGCTGGAGCACGGCATGTAGGATCAGGTGAAGGTGGAGCGAGAGGAGAAGGACTCTCCGCCTCACGGCGTCTGTACTTAAGTTTGCAAGGGAAAAGTTGTACATCTTTTCACACTCATTCGCATCATGAAGTCATGCATTTTGGGGGGGAAATTTGGGGATGTTTTCAATATTGAGATGAACTAACAATAATAATGAATGCATGCGTTTGTTGGGAAATTATTTGATTTGATTTGTTTTTGTGAAATATGAGAGTGAAACTGGGTTTATTTTTATACAATCATGCTTTTGCCCTTCGATTTAAACCATTTTCAGCTGAAAATGGTGTTGAAAAGCCAAAATTGGAACTAATTTTGATACGAATTGCGCTCAATTTGTCTTTTTCAACACAATTTGGGGTGGAAAATGCATCAAATTGAATGGCAATAGAGATTGATTAGGGATTTAAAGAGTGACCTAATCCGCTTAGAATTTCATTGAAAACAAATATAGATTGTTAAACAAAGAAGTAACTTTGAAGTGATCGATATTAAAATAGGAAAATTGTATGTTTCAAGCTGTGAGGAAGAAAATTCAATCATGTTTCACTGATGTTTCACGTTCTTTTGCTGTCTTTTCGTCTGTTTTGTTAAGTTTTTGGTCATTGAAAGTCCATTTTGAGGATCACATAATTGATGTGTTTGGATAAGATGTACACCGTTTTCAATGCAATGTTTCTCCCTCGATTGGGAAGATATTCAACAAAGTTCCAAGTCTAGTGTTTGGCAGTTAAGATGCAAAAAGGGTAGCAAAAAATTTGGGGGGATGAAAAGTAGATGAAAAATCATCATTAAGCAAGCTATATGTATATGTTCATTTAGATTTCATAATTGTACATGTATTTTTGTGTATTTTGTGTATAAAATGCGCTGAGGAAATTGTGTTAAAGAGGCGGAGAAATACCAAATTGTGTGTCATAAGGTGGAAAACAAGAAAGAGGGAGAGAAAGAGAGAGAGAGAGAGAGAGAGAGAGAGAGAGCGAGTGTTGCTGAGAATGTTTTTTTAATGCATTACTTAAGGCAGATTCTTCATTATTTGTGTGATATATTTAAAGAGAAAATATTCAGAATTGAGATCTTTTGCGGATCTCTTGGATGATTTTAGGAGTCATGCTGAGCGTACTTTCCCTATATTTCCTATAGATAGACCAGTTTTTTTTGATAAATTAATTTTCACATTTGAGTGCAGAAGACGGAGAAATATAGACTAAAATTAACACGCACCCTCTTTGCCTTCTGTTCTTCGTCCCGCTCGCGATTCCCCGCTTCAGTCTCGCCCGGCGACAAGTGGTTCCACGGGAAGCTGGAGTTCATGCTGAGTCAACGAGGGAAGCCGCTTCTCGTGCACGACGGCTACACGTTCGGCATTCAGTACATACGCAAAGACAAGAAGTACTGGCAATGCAATCTGTCCAGGAAGTTCAACTGTAAAGCGCGCGTGACGACAACTGACTTGGGTGAGATTATTGTGACGAACAACGAGCACTGCCACACGGAGATTCGGCAACATCTGAGGAAGGACTACAAGCAGAAGATGGCCAGTGGCGGCAACAGTTCCAGGGACAACGCATGGTCGCAGGGAAGATCGTGAGAAGACGAGATTCACGCGCGCAGATGCCAAAATACAACGGATTCACAGTACAAATCAACGAAATTATATTTCTATTTTACCACTAAGAGAGAGAGAGAGAGAGATAATCAACTCGTGGCTGCTAACTTTACCTTCTCCTCTTCATTTATACACTCTATATATTACATTTCTTCTTCTTTTGAGATTCTGCCATTAAGCAACATGACATCGAAGCGAAGGTCTTCTCTTTATTTTGGATTGTTGGACAAAAATCATAGGGAAGAGATTATTCTATCCAGAGGGGCCAAATATACAAATCTTCAGGGCAATATTTTCCAAAATATTGGAGCAATAAATCATTTATAAACATGGGCTATGAATAAAATAAATTGTTAAATATTATTGTGTCTGATCTTAAAAAAAATCCTCAGCAGAGATTTCGTTACTTTTCAATTTCTTCTCTGGTAATTCCTTCGCCCACCACCAGACATCGCTCGTGCTTGACGTTTCATCCCACCGCGCCAGTGTGGTGAGTTTCTTCAGTGATTTTGTGCTCGTCCGGTGTAGTTTCTTGTGCAGAAAATCCCGAAAAACCAGTGAAAAATGTCGTGCAAATACTATAAGAATTGAGGTAAGTCTCCACTGAATCACTCTGTACAGTGAAACATCTGCAAAATGCACGTGAACAGTGAGAAATGTGACTTTTTCGTGAGGGTTTCGCGGGTGGCAAAAATGGGGCTTGTTCTTGTGCGCAGACTGGGAAAAATGTCCTTGTGAGACGCATTTCAACTGCGGGTGGCTCGGAAAATTCCACAACGAAGCCTCCTCCATCCACAAATCATCCACCGAAAGGGTTTTCCGCCACACTTTTCACACCACTCTTGTCGCACTGCCTCGAACTCCAACTTGACCGATTTCACACAGATGTTTGGGTTTTCTTTTTGTTTTCCTCCGCATCTTCGTCTCATTTGAATGCCCGTCCGGAGAGTGTGTGTTCCGGAGAGTGAGGGTGGAAAATCAATACTTGACCGCATGCACCATGCCACCCTCTTTGTGTGATGTTTACAAAGGAGGGTCGCGCCACGGGAAAAAAACAGCCCTCGCGATGAGGAAGAATTTGACACCAAAAGTGTGTGGATTTTGGGAGGCATTTTCGTGCCTCTCAGCCATTTGGGGGCCACAAATTCACATTCTGCAGAAGTTGTGGCAGTGCAGCTGAAGGTCGCGCTGTCCCCATCGGTTCTATTGTTCGGTTCAGTCCAAAAATAGCGGACTTACTCCACATGAGGAATGCTAATTGGCCACAAACACACCCGGACAGGCAATGCGGGCAATTCTGGAGAATCTCTCTCTCTTCAGCTGTGGCGCATTTTTTGCAGCCAAAGTGCGATAAGGCGCATATCTGGCACGTTTCCCGAACGATAAGCAACTGTAGCGTGATTTTGATATGAGGATTATCGAGCGAGGGGATCTATAATAATAGATTAGGCCGGGAAATTGAGCTGACGAATTTGTGGGGTATTTTTAGACTGTGCGAAACTGGAAATTCGGTGGCATTTTGCAATTTTGAAACCCTTGAAACTATTATTCTGAATATATTGAGGAAGCTCAATAAGTGGCTTGCTAATCAGCTTATCTGTGAGGCGTGGATGAATCAGTTCTTGAATCAGCATCGCAGCCAAAGTTCCGGCGAAGAGGAATTTAACTTCACTTTGTAGGGGAAAACAAGGTTACTTTGAACAGTAACATTCAGTTGTAATAATCTTTTGGAAAATGGCAAAAAAAAATAACTTATGACAAATTCTGTCCGCTGAAATGCCACTGAATCTTCCATAAAATTGGGAGACTTTAAGTTTGAATGTCATTTCAGATGATTTTCAGTGTATCAAAAACAAGACGTGAAATTGCAATGGAAAATGAGACGAATAAAAAACTTCTCTGATATTTCTTGCAAAATGACTAAAAAGCAGAATAGAATTTATGCAAAACTACATATCAACATATTTGGCAACATTCCCAGAAAATTTTCATGTATTTTTTCTTCCAATTCTCTCTCGCCCAGGAAGATTTTCATATTTCCCATGGAAATGAAGCATAAAAGTTGGAATTTGCATTTCCCACGTGATTGCACGTAAAAATTCAATGACTCCACGATGTCTTTTTGCGTCAATTTGCCATCCGACTTATGTAAAATCCTTGGACATTGTATGATTTCGCGAACAGCAAATTGTCTCTTCATGAGTTTTGATAAAGTTTTTTTCTTTTATGATTAATACACGCATTTTTATTATTTATTTTCATGTCAATTCATTTGAAAGAGGAGCGAGAGAAGAAACACTTTAATTAATTGAATTGCTGGTGTGTTGGCTGTGTTGTAGAGTCAATATTATGGTTTGTGTGGCAGATGAGCGAGGAAAGTGTGTGAATTACTTTCAATTTTTATGGTCAGACAGACTGTTATCTGTGTCCAATGATCCTCCCACGTCAATTCACTGCCATTTTTCATCACTCATTCCTTTCTTCTCGGGGCAAAATCGGCGTTGGAAGAGACGCGCCAAGAAGTGTTTCTTCGCCTGGTCATTTCTGTGAAATTCTGTGAAGGGGAAGAGCGAGGATAATTTGAATAAATTTGCCATATTGCACGATGTGGAAGACGAGGAAATTGAAGAAGGAACGTTTCGACGTTTCGCTTTATTTTGTGAGGATTTTGTGAGGTGATTACTAAAATGCCCTGCAAATATATATGCACATGTCGAAGAAACACACAGACAACAAATGGATAGAAGAAGAAAATGCATTTGAGACGCGTGCACGTCTGACGGACAAGCCAATGACCGAGTGGCTAATTAAATGAATAGAGCTAAACAAAAGTGAGTCATCATATATGAAGATTGTGATCGTTTGATTGCGAGAAGAGAGGAATCATCTTAATTTTCTTCTTTATCGCTCTTGTGCCTTCTCTTCGTGGCCGTTTAGAGATGCTTTAATGGGTGGATGATTGACTGTGAAAACGGAAGGAGTGAAGATGTGTGTCTGTCTATAGCATTTTTCCTCCTACAAGTTGGCATTGACTGAATGTCGAATGTACAAAAGAGGAGTTGAATCTCTTCAATTATTACATCACGCTCGAGTGTTGCTTTTGCTTTTGAGATTGTTTTCAAGACACTTCCTCACCAGGGCGGCCTTAATATTGTCTCTGTCACACGCAATTTGACACAAAGGTCTTCACACTCTGATCTTATTTGTCACCCTTTCTTCTAAAGTTGATAATTTTGGGTGGAAAATGAGTTGAAATACGATAATTTTTGATTTTTATTGAAATTTTAATACACTTTCATTCATTATTTTCTATTCTTGCGTGCACTTTCTTGCTCTTCAGTGAAATGTTGGTTTTTTTGGTTAACTTCTGCATTTCGATCTTTACGCTCTATAATTAACGCAAAAACAGAGAATGTGAAATTTTATTTCAGTATTATTTGCATTTTTTCGCGCCAAATTCATGTGAGACTGAAAAAATAAGATTTTAATAATTAAAAATGGGTTTCAAGGCATTTATTTGCGGAAAATAATCATACAAAATTCCATAAAGTTTTCTACATTTTTCAATTTGAAGCAAGATAATTTTTCTATGGCATAAATCGAATAATGAGAAGTGATTAAAAAAGCGTCAAAAAGACAACAATTTATAGAACAATAAGTTCAATGAAAACGTCTTTCTTCCCCGGCTTTCTGATGTGCGTATTTTCACAGGGAAAGTGCTACTCTATTGAGGCTTAGTTTGTAAGATTAACTAATGTTTAATTAAGTGATTCCATTATAGAGAAATTGCCCAGACACGTGAGGCTACGTTTTTTTTTTTTAATGTGGTTATGAAATATAAATAGGCAATTACAGGTTATCTAAAAGGTGTTGGAATGGAAATTATGAGGTATATAATTAAATTTTTTCCTCATCTTTTTTCCTCTTTTTCCTCTTGTGTTGTGACATTTGTGGAAATTGAGCGTGAGTTTTGCTCATCTTGAGGTCATCTTATGTGTGAATTTTTGTGTCACCTCAAAAATGTGCTGTGAATGCGCATTATGAGAAAACTCCACCCAGAAAATCCTCCATTGAGTGATTAAGTGCTCTGGAATGTCTTTTGATGAATTTTCTCGTTTAACCATCAAACACTTTTCCCGATGTTTTTGTTTTCCTCAGTGGAAAATGTTACACAATATCAACATGAAAATCACTCTCGCGGCGCACTTTGCGTCGCTCTTTTCGTTTGTGTGTGTGTCTAATCAAAATATGCGCATGAGGAGGGAAAATCTTGTGGCTGAAGAAGTGAAGAGTGGATTTATATTTAGAATGATGGAGATGCACAAAATGTTAAATTTATCAAAAGTCATTCACCACTCAAGACATATTTCTCCGATGGGGGGGAGGGAATAAACAAAAGGGGCAAAAGGAGTTTTGTGTTCATGGAAGAAGAGTTATAAGAGACATTTCAATCATCACAAGCGCGCGCATCTTTCGACAAAATTAGCTAATAATACTAATTAATAATTCCCTCATTAATAACTTGCAATCAACGCCGTTCTTCTACAATCCGCCAACATTCTATTCTGAGCTGCGCAACAATGTGTAAATAATAATAATTATGAGCGCAAAAGTATGATATTTCATCAAATGAATTTTGATATCGTGCACAGACTGTTATTGCATTTCCCACCCAATTAATATATATTTATAAAAAAATATGTGTGTGAATGCAGAGGAAAGAAGAAAAAAAGTCCAACAACAACAATATTTCTGATGATGCGTGAAAAATGAAATCTGCGCGAGCGCGAAAAGAAGTTGTGGTCAGAAAAAGTGTTTGTTCTAAAATATAATTTACGACTTTCCATTTTCAAAATGCAAGTCTTTTGCACGGAAGAAGGAAATCTTGATATTCATTCGTTTATTGGATATTCAATCTCTCCACTCAATGTTCTCATTTTTCTTCCGTCCTCAGCATTTTTTTTTTAATTATTTGTTTATTCAACACCATTTTATCTTTCATCCACTTGACTTTTTACGACTCTCATCAACATTCAGAGTGTCACTGGCTTTGGCGTGATCTTATTAATGGAGGAAAATAGAGTAAAAGAAGGCGAACACGCAGTTATTGATCTAAATTTGGGAGGGCAAAACTTCAAATATTCCGGAGAATTTCTCTCCACTCAAATTAAATTGATAAATCCTAACAAATCTTGAGCTCCACCTCAAAATCACGACTTGCGTCTCAATGGTGAAAAATGTCTGTGGTCTGGTTAATGATTGTATAATTTTTCTCTCTGTGTTCTTCTTTTTTTTGTTGTCTATAATACTTAACACTACTTCTTGTCTTGATGGGGTTAGACTTTGTAGCGATATGCCATGGTTTGTGCGCTGTGTTTTTGTGTGTGTGTGTGTGAAGAAGTGAAAAATTAGAGTGGCTTGAGTTTGTAAGAATTCATGTATTTTCAGTTTATTTTCGAACGCCGGCTCGTGAACATTGTGTGTTGGAGAGAAAAACCATATTCTTCTTGACTTCTGTTGAACGTATGTGTTGAGGAAAATTTTCTCACTGAAAGTTGTGTTTGTTTGTGTTTTATTTTGCAATTGTGAGAGAAGAGAGAAAAGTGCTTGAAAAACATGGAAAATCATGCATCATTCATAACACTTGAAGATGTCTTTGGGCGATATAACAGAAGACGGCGCGAATATCGGGCTAATGGACATAGAAATCGACTCCCGTTGAGTGTTTCGAGGATGAAATTTAAAAATAGGACATGTAGTGTAAGTTTTACCCTGTCTTGTGAGTCTTTTTCTCCATCTAATTCTGTCAATTTGGGTCAAATATACCCACAAATAGAGGGGCTTTTTGCACACACGCTGATGGCAATTTCTGATTCCTGGGACGCTTAGAAAATGCTTTCCATCCTGTTTGGTGAGAAATCGTGAAGACCTGCAGTGTTGGGCATAAATCAGGGAAAAGAGAGAGACTTCTAATGGGTTTGAATTATCTGAAGTGTATCTTCGGTTCAAAATGAAATGCTGGTGCAGACAATTTGTTGGTTGGCTGTGTTAGAAATGTGTCTGATGTGACAAAGTGGGTCGCTTCTGGTGTTGATTCTTTTTTCTCCTTTTTTTTGTTGTCCAACTGCTTATATATTTAGGTTTCTAATTACCTTTAGAATGTCTCAGTGAATCGGAGACATCTTGACTGACACTGTGTGTGGTGCAATGGTGTAAGAAAATGAGTTTTGAGAGAGGAAATTGTACTCATTGGAATTTATCACTTAACTCAAAAATCTCTTAATAGTTTTTCTCTCCAAAATAGAATGTGAATGGGAATGTCTGTCGTTATTTTTCATTTTTCAAGTGAAGTGATTTTAATACAATTATAACTCCAAGTAACAATGCTCAAATTTCTTTTCAATCCTCTCACCTTTCTTTCATGCCTCTTTTGTACATTAAATACAACAAGAAAATCCAATCTTTCTCTCTCTCTCTCTCTCTCTCTCCGTTACACTCGCGATTGCTGCTATATAAAGTATGGTTTTTTTTAATTTAATATGCGGAGAGAGAAGAAGAAAAAAATTGTAAGAGTGTTTGTTGCAGTGCAAAATGATAATTATCGCTGATCAGGCAAAATTCAATTAAAAAACTGTAAATTGCTTTTTTATTGTTCTTCTCCATCGCAAGTGAAGTTGTTGGAATTAACATGAGAGATTGTCTTCAATTCCATGCGGTGTGTTTATAGTAAAGAACATGCACAATTGAGGGTGTTATTTTTTTGCCATTTCGGCATGAATTAATTGTAAAGAGCGGAGATTAACTCGAGCAAGAAGAAGGAGGACTTTATGGGCTAGAGATGTGCTGTGACCCAAAAAACATGTAGATATTGTGCAAATGACGTTTTGACTGGCTTCACAGTGTTGGAAAATGTGATGGAGTTTCTCGGATTCTAATGATAAAATCTCTTCAAGAGTGTGTTATTTCATCTGGTTGAATAAGATCAAATATAATAAATAAACATAGAAGATGAAATATAACCATTTAGAAAAACTTAATTGCGTCTTATGTATTCTTAGAAAGCTTTTTATCTGTTTTACCATAAAAATTTCAAAATTTTAAAGTTTTGCTTAACATATTCATAATATTTTTGCATATTTTTCTAATTACTTCGATTGAAAACTTCAAAAAAAATTCTTTTAGGTATGAAAAGTTGTTTTTTGTGCTTATTATACAAAAATTCACAAAATAATTACTTTTAATAAACGATTAGAAGGTGTTTGATGAGAACTTGGTGAATTTCGCTGTGATTTTGACGCTTCATTTTCAATTTTCTCCCTTAAAAAAATGGCAATTTTGCCTTTTCAATGCTTAAATCGTCAAATGGGTGAATAAAATGGCCCCGCTTTTCCCTATTTGCAAAGAAAATTCCTCTGAAAGCTATTCATGTGCATCGATGACAATCAAAATTGTCATTTGCACGCCTCATCGCTATGGTTTTGTTGTCTTGTCTCTTGGCCAATTCTTTCCTCCTTTTCGTGTCTTTTCACGCGGTGTTATTTTTTTCAATTAGCACTGAGAAGAAGGTAAATTGAAAAGAAAAAAAAAACCTCTAAGGGTTCAATTTCAATTGAAATAATACTCATCGATAATCTGCTTCACGGTGGTAATTTTGGGTTTTATGCGCTCACAATTCAACCTTTTTCTTCTCTTTTTCTCGTTCGCTGCGTTGTTTTCTGGTGAATTCTGCAAGAATATCGACAAGGTTGTTTAGAGAGAAAATGGTTAATGTGTGTAGTTTACGAGTTTTGAGTGTCGCTTTATGACATCCGGAGTTGATGGAGAGTGAAATTGATTTGGACAGTAGAAATACCATCGAATGTGAATTGTCTACGCAATTGACTTATGTCGACAATGACTTGTTTATGGTAGAAAATGATTGTTGTTTCGCAGAAGAAGTGAATCAACGTTTATGCATCAGTTCATTATTCCTTGAATGCTTAATTTCTTTGCTTAATCAATGCTGCTGGAGGTGATTTTACAGCTCTTGAATTTCACACGATAAATTTCTTAATGTATATCAATTTTTTAAAATGAATTACGCAACAAAATTCGTTGGATTTTATTAACTTTGCTTCATTTCATTGCTTCCTGCCAATCAATACGGAGTATTTTTTTTCGTCTTTTCCGCATTTTCGCTCTTGTTTATCTGTGTGTGACAATTCTTCTCTCAGCGACTGTTTCGGAGAGTTTTGTGCATCTTGTTCACTGCAGCATAAAAATGTTGTTGTGCAGAGTTGTAATCAATGAAAAATCTCTCAGCAGTTGTGCTGAGTTTGTCTTCTTCTCACTCTCTTTCGCTGTCTTGACTTGCTACTATATAATTTCTTGCAATTCTCCTTCTGTCCACTCAAGTGTGACGATTTCTTCCTCTGTGATTCCCTCTATTGTTTCGCCATGCGACAAGAAATTGACGACTTCATTGAAGCGCTCAGTTTTTACTCTCCCTCAGAGACAGAAAGGCGCGCATTTCCCAGACGTTCACTGCAGTGTAGAAGAGGGAGAAAAAAGTGAATTGTTGTGAAGACAATTATTGGACAATTGGGAAAATATTGTGATTGTTTTGTGAAAGAAAGTCTAATTGTATTTTTTCTTTGCAGAGTTCAAATGCACCGCGCATAAAGATGGATTCGTCATCGGAGGAGTTCGATGTGGATCTTGAGGATCTAGACATTTCTGAGGAGGGTGAGAAGAAGAAGCATTTCCTGGACTACGATGCAATTCCGCCGCCGGAACTGGAGGAGATGCCCAGAGCGGGACCTTCGGGTGGTCAGCAGGGCGAAGGAGCGGCGAAGTATCCGAGCGAGAGTGTGAAGATGGACAAGAGATTCGAGAGAGATGGTGAGATTAGTGACTATGAGTTGGCGGCGTGTGAATCCATGAGGTTGCATAGGAAAGGAAAGAGCGACGCCACGACGACGGCGGCTGTGCTGGAGGAGGCTGAGGCGGCTGTGCACACGGGCACGCGGCGGAAGAAGAGTCTGTCGACGGGTGGCGAGAGGGAGCATCACAGTTTGGGACGCGAGCCAATGAGTCACTTGCATCGCATGGCGGAGTTTGATCATCTGAAGTATGAGAGGAAGCATTCGCTGGATCGTGAGAGGATGAGAAAGGGTCCTGTGACGTCTTTCCTCGACACACCATCGACTTCCTCGCAGGTTTATCACGGCACATGGCCAGCTGATCGTCCGTCGGATGTTCATGCGGCGCTCAGCTCGTCATCCCTGCCGCCGGGTGGTGTTTGTGATCTGGGACCGAAGGTGGAGTGTGTCTATTCGCTGCTCTCCATGCTGGGATCTCACGATGCTGTGGAGATGTCATCGAAATTCCTCGAGTTGTCTCGCTCGCCAGAGACTTGCGCCACTCTGAGGCGATCGGGATGCATTGCACTGCTGGTGCAGATGATACATTCGGACAGTGATGAGGTGGCGAGGAAGAATGCCAGTGTGGCGCTGCACAATGTGGTTCTCTGTCATCCGGACGACAAGGCGGGGCGGCGGGAAGTGAAAGTGTTGCGACTTATTGAGCATGTGATGGAGTACTGTAACTTCCTAAAGACACTCAAGCAGTCCGGCGAAGCGGTGGCCGATGACACGGAAAGGCACCCCAGTCAGGCGATCAGTAGTCTCATGAAAATCAGCTTCGACGAGGAGCATCGGCACGCCATGTGTCAATTGGGTGCACTGCAGACCATTGCCAATCTCGTGCATCTCGATCACGCGGCTCACGGAGCCAAATCGACGGATCCGCGCTGCATCTCATTGCGACGCTACGCTGGAATGGCGCTCACGAACTTGACATTCGGCGATGGAAACAACAAGGCGCTGCTGTGCTCCAATAAGGACTTCATGAAGGCTCTGGTGGCTCAACTCGACAGCAGTGCTGATGACTTGCTTCAGGTCAGTTGATGTTCTCCTTGAAATAAGTTAGTTTAAGTCATTTTCGGTAAGATCTTGGGCTCTTCTGATGTGTGTTGTTTGTCTTTCAGGTCACTGCCAGTGTGTTGAGGAATCTCTCGTGGCGCGCTGATGCCAATATGATATCTGTACTGAATGAAATCGGAACTGTGACTGCTCTCACGCGTGCAGCGATGAGGAACAAGATGGAGAACACGCTGAAGGCCATTCTTTCAGCACTGTGGAACCTCTCAGCTCACTGCAGTGCCAACAAGGCTGAATTCTGTGCTGTTGATGGTGCTCTGGCCTTCCTTGTGGACATGCTGACCTTCGAGGCGCCCAGCAAGACGCTGACAATTGTGGAGAATGCTGGAGGAATTCTCAGAAATGTGTCGAGTCACATTGCTGTGCGGGAGGATTATAGGAAAATTCTGCGACAGCGAGATTGTCTTGGAATTCTGCTGCAACAGCTGAAGAGTGAGAGCTTGACTGTGGTTAGCAATGCCTGTGGAACACTGTGGAATCTCTCGGCGCGATGTCAGGAGGATCAGAAGTATCTCTGGGACAATGGAGCCGTTCCGATGTTGCGGAGTTTGATTCACAGCAAGCACAAGATGATCTCGAATGGTAGCAATGCAGCGCTGAAGAACCTCTTGAACTTCCGACCCGGCGTGGTGAATCAAATGGCGATGGATTCAATCACAAAGTCGTTGAATCTGAAGGAATTGCCGACGCTGAATGTGCGAAAGCAACGAGCATTGGAGCAGGAATTGGATCAGAATTTGGAGGAGACTTGTGAGAATTTGGATGTGACAACGCCGCCTAAGGAGGAGAAAACTGTCCAGGATTTTGCCAATCTTGAGTTACTGCATCAGAGGGATTTTGTGCAGCGCATCTCAAGGGGTGAGGGTGTGAAAGAGAGTGGATCAACGCCACCAATTGCTAAGAGAACAACTCTGCCGGATAAGAAGCCCGTGCCGGCGGTGAGAAAGCCTGAACCGACGCCGCGACGGCATGTTTCGCAGCAGCAAACAATCAAAGAGCCCCAAGATGAGGCTTCGTCGTCTTTTGGGGACTATCAAGAGACGGATTTGGATCAAATCACTGACTATTCTCTGCGATATGCGGAGAATCAGTCGGATGTGGAGGAGAAGAATCCATCTTCCGTGGCGGGATCGTATGGGAATGAGATTATTCTCATTCTGGAGGATTCTGTCAAGTGTTACCAGACTGAGGGCACTCCGTATGCAATCTCCAATGCAGCTTCCATGAGTGACTTGAGGCGACAACCCAAAGACGACGTGCCAACGAAGAGTGCCACAGTGTTCAGCTCGGGCATTCACACGCCCGAGAAGCCGGTGAATTACTGCGAAGAAGGCACTCCGGGCTGCTTCAGCCGTGAGTTTAGTCATCATGGATCGCTGAGTAGTCTCGAGGGTGGCTCACCGCCCACCACAGCGGGCCAGGGTGTCGCTCAGGGTGGCGCGAAGCCCCGCGAGGGTGATAAAATCGAAGTCAGCGCACAGGAGGCGGACGACGTGGCCCCAATTGTGGAGAGTGGATCAAACAGCGCAGGAGCGGGCAGTGGAAACACCCCAAAAGCTGTCACATTTGTCGACAATGCACTGGAAACGCCGCTGATGTTCTCTCGCACCAGTTCAATTGAATCCCTCTCGAGTGCTGAGCCAAATTGTGCTGACGATCGGAGTTCTGTCGTGAGTGAATTCAGGTAATGTTGTTGTGACTCTCTTCTTTTGACCTTTCGCCAGAGAAATGAATTTTTGCTCGTTGAGGATCATTAGTAATTTCCGGTGGACGTGAAGAAAGTTGCAAAACACAGAGAGAAAGAGAAAGAGGGAGAGAAAAGTGAATGGAAATTGTGCCTTTGATTTATATCTTGCACAATTGCACATCTTTAATGGTTTGGGACTTTATTAGGCAATCTTTTTGTCTCTCGCGTGTGGCAAAATATGGGAACTTCTTCAGATGCACTTTAATGACTGTGTTAAATTGTGATTTGAGGCATTCTCTGTGGACTATTTTGGGAATTATGGTTTGTCTGAAGTCATTTCTTCTTCAAATAATAATAATTACTCTTTGGCGAGACTTTATGATACATTTATGGTAAACCCTGTAAAAAAATATCGACAACATTTGTATATGAATCTTCACCGGCTAAAGGCCAATGATTAGAGCTAATAAAACATCCGTATAGCGTTGCATAAGGTTGAACTTGATGGTAAAATTATTAATAAAATTGTGTTTAATTTCACAGTCGACTGGCCAGCGGCATTATTTCTCCGTCAGAACTTCCGGATTCGCCAACACAGAGCATCCCTCAGTCGCCGCGGCGCACGCAGGAGGGCGCCGCGTCTCTGCCGCCGCACGTGTCCTCGGCTCCGCGCCTGAGGAGTGTCTTTGAGGATGACACAAATGCGTTTGGCGTGGAAAATACACCGGCTCAATTCTCATGCGCCACAAGCTTGAGCAATTTGAGTCTCGATGATGAACCGAAGATTGTCACTGATTGTCTGACGAAGGAGATGAGATTGATTAGTCATCCGAGTGAGGAGCAAGAAGAGGAGGAGGATGAGGAGATTATTGCTGTTCAGACAGTGGAAAATGCAGAGAATCCCAATAATTCAGCCAATATTGTGTCTGATGGCGAAGAGTCGGTCAATGATGAGATGTTGCTGGCGTCGTGCATCAATATGGGCATGAATCGGCGAGCGCCTGAAGGTGAAACGTCGGCCAAGAGTAAAATCACGCCACCGGACATGGTGAGGCAGTATTGCACGGAAGATACGCCGGCTTTTCTCTCCAAACCCGGCAGCAATTCAGATCTCAGTGTTCTGTCGCTGGACACAAATCGATGCGAAGCTGTGGCGTCAGACAGTTCGTCGGACGGTGGAAATGAGAATCTTCTGCAAGAGTGCATCAGAGATGGAATGGGAGCGTCGAATATGCCGCTGATTAAGGAGCATCCCATTGAGATGCTGCGCAGTGGATCAATTCTGCCGCCCTACTTGCCAGTTAGGGATGAAATTCAGCAATTTGCGCCGCCAGTCGAGGGCACGCCGTGCAATTTCAGCGTCATGTCTGGACTCTCTGACATCACAGTGGGATCTGGTGTGGCGGGATTGGCCAAAATCAAAAGGTATTTGTGCATTTGCTGTCATTAGAAGGCTTATTTTCACCTGTGTTGAATTGCAGATGAAAAATCAAGTAATATTCATTGAAAATCAACGGAGAAATGTGAAAATTTGCCAATTTGTCATGTTTAGCGATATTTCTATTTTTGTCTTTGACCTGAAATGTTGAAGAATCAATATGAAAATTGAGGAATTTGATGAAGAAATGATAAAAGCGAATTATTTTAAAATATTTCACACATTTAAGATTCTATATCAGAACTTTTAACCTAAATTGATTCATTTTTCGGCTCTTAATTGGCTTTTTAACACGAAAAACAGTGAAGAAACTGATTTCTGATGGTTTTTTTTCATCTTCTTCAGGTCACCATCTAAGGATCAAACTGTGGGACAGAGTTCACAACAACCGCAACAGCAACAGCAGCCTTCGGGAGATGATTCTCTGAGTTCTCTTTCCGTGGACTCTGAAGATGACACGAATTTGCTGAGTCAAGCAATCGCAGCGGGCAGCAATGCGTCGAGACCTTCGACATCAGCTGCCAAGGATGATCCGCGCAGTGGTTCGACGTTCACCGTGCAAACGGCTCTGATAAGTGTTGCTGTGAATTTGGAGGCAAACGATTCCAGTTCAATTGAATCGTGCGAAACGAATGACAATCATGCACAATTGCTGGAGCAGTGCATTCGCACAGGGATGGGTCAGGATGTGAATAAGAATCCGGCGAGTCAATCGCGGACGAGAGTCACGAGTGTTACTGTGCAATCGCCGAAGAAGTCGCAATTGCCGCAGCTGAAGACGTCGCGGTATGACAGGCACAAGGAGCGCGAGAAGAAGGATGAGCAGTTGCTGAAGGAGTGCATCAATGTGGGAATGGGGAAGCAGTTGCTGCCGGTGCGTCGTGATGAGATGCCAAAAAACGGGGAGACTACGTCTGCAGCTGTGCCGGATTCAGTCGGTGTCCCCAGCACAGCTCCAGACGTAGAGATGGAATTCCGCGACGTCACAAGAGGGTCAAGAGGAAGTCAGCTCACGCCACGTGCTCAAAAGCATACCAGATTGACGGGGAGTCACACAAGTGGGTGTGACACGGACGTAGATGGGGTGATGTTTAACTTTTCGGGGGAATTGGAGAATCTGCTGGAGCGATCGAATGAGTATCCGGCACAGAAGTTGACCAATATGGATGTGATTGAGGATTCAATGCATGAATCGTCCTTTGACATGGAGATTTCCAATGAATTCCTGATGGAGAGCATTGAGGCGGCGGCGGCACTTGAGAGTGGATTGAAGGATAAGCACAAAGATCCGGATTTGATGCTCAAATCTGTGGATAGATTGACACAAGTTCTTGTCTCTCAGGCGGAATACTTGCGATCTTCCAATCATGCTGATGATCCATCGAGGAAATCCTCCTCAAACAACACATGGAGTGAAGACACTTGTCCCAATGACGTGTCTTTTCCCAGCATCAGCATGACGGCACCAATGATTGGATCGCTCAATGATGATGACGCCACTTTCAGTGACTTCTCGAAGGGGAAGAGCAACATTCTGCCGCCTGAGGAAGAGCCGACGCCAACGAATGAAGTCAAGGAGTTCGTGGACAAGTGTCCATTCACATCTGCACCACTGTCAAATGGCTGTGAGGAGATTAAGAGCATTCTGGCGCATGCTGATCTCGAGCAAACACTGCGCTTTGACTATGGCGAGAGTGAAGGATTCGCTTCGCAGCCAGACTCAATGGACACTGACACAGAGACTGTTGTCAACTCCTTAGAGAGTGGAATCAATTTCCAAGTTGGTGGTGAAGTTCTTTCCAGTGTGAATCACAATTCACTTCCATTCATCTCTTCGGGACCGATGAGTTTCGATCCGTCGAGTTCCCTGACAAATTCCACGATTATCGCCATGGAGGCGAAGAAGATTGTCAATGAATTGTCACAGTACAATGCCATGACGGAGAGTGCAACGAGCTTTGATCTGGAAAATGTCAGGCCACCGTCTGGGATGGATAGTTTGAGTGCTGTCTCGGGATGCTATGAAATGCCACAGAGTCCGAATTTGTCCGCCAGAGCCAGGAAACGCTCTCTGCCGCCGGGATTGCTGGCCAGACGTGCTCTTGGTGGTCACATCATGACAAATGGGAGTTTGGAGAGCATCAATTCCACGTGCAATCTGGACAGTGTTGCTCCACCGTCAGCAATGGATGAATTGCTGGATTCTATGATCTCAGTGGCGAGTATCACGTCAGAAGTGGCGCCGCTTCAGACGGACGCCACATTCTCACAGTACGACACGGCTGTCAGTGAGATGGATGACACGCTGACAGGAGGAGGAGTGTGGCAGGATGTGTCCAGTGATGTCACTCCAATTCCATCGGACTTTAGCAGTGCGGAGTCCACGCCGAAGAAGGGCAGGAAGCTGTTGACGCCAAAGGAGAGGCGAAAAGTGCGAAATGATCGCTATCGAACGTATGTGATCAGTGATGGTCAGACCAGGGATAATGCCACGGATGCGGAGTCCATTGAGGATGACACTGAGGAGGTGTTGCAAGTGGTGGAGACTGAGGCCAGTGGCAGCAAGAGATTGCTGCGGAAGCAACGAAGGGAAGAAGATCCGGCGCGCTTTAAGACGCACACACTCGATTCGCCCACAATTCCGCAGCTGATGAATCAGGTGAATGGGATGCAGAGTGAGGCTTGTGCTGTTGTGGAGGACAATGCTGATGCCACGAGTGTGGCATCGAATGATGATGGTGAAGATATGTCGTCAATTCGTGCTCTGACAGCGCGATTCAAGCACTTGAGTGATCTCAAGCCGCCAGAGAGTCAGCAGAATAACACGGATTTGAGTAGTTTGGACTACGAACAGAATTCAGGCACGGAATCGTGTGATCAGAATGGACGATCGGACAGTAATGAGTCGCTGGTGAAGGGAAAGGCGAAGATCTCGCGGACGGAGGACAGTGCTGAAGGACAGGAGGCAAAGAGTGTTCGTGGAAGGAAGAAAGTTCCCTACGTTTCACCATATCGACGCTCTGTTGTCTCCTCATCCAAGTCCTCCTCGCAATCGGCATCGCCGACAAAGAGTGTCTCACCGGCATCGAGTGGTGGAATTGCCAGAACAAATCTGGCTTCCAAGGCGACAGATGCAAAGAAGGCCAAAACACTGCCAAGTGGCACAAAAGCGCCGGCCAAGGAGCATCAGAGTTTGGTGGGGAAGACGTCGAATTTCATTAGCAAAGCCAATTTGACGAATAAAATCAACTCCATCAAGTCTGGACTGGTGCGGCCGGGATTCAGCAGTAAGGCGGGTGTTCTGGAGAAGAACATCATCAATAAGATTAAGTCTTCCGCGCCGGCGAAGGCGGCTGAGGAGCCGACGCCGAGGGTGTTGGAGCGTCAGAGCACTTTCACGAAGGACGAGCCGCCATCGAGCCCGAATGTGCCGATTGTCACGGCGGATCCGCCACAATCGCCCAGCAGAGTGTCCAAATTGCCGGCCAAAGTCACGCCGAAGGCCAAGACGAGCTTCATTGCGAAGCTGCGAACGCCGCTGCAGAAGAGCGCCACGCTGGACATCAATCCCGGCGGTGGAGCGACGAGAACTCAAGCGGCCAGGAGTAGACCATCATCTTCCTCTGGTTCTGGTGTCTACAAATCCACAAGTTTGGCCAATGTTCCGACATCCAACAGCACGACGAAGAGTGCAAGAACGCCGCCGTCGCGAAGCACGACAAATGTGGCAATTGGAAGCAGAATTGCGTGCTTGTGGAAGAAATCGAGTGAGTTTAGAGATGATTTTTTTTTATTAATAATTGAATTTTCTTTCCTTTTTTTCTTGTCTCTTCTCAAACATTTCATCAAAGTTGTTGTTGTTGAATGATGAAATAAATCAGTGGCAAATACGAAAGCCTGATTAACACTTAAAGACCGTCTTTAGCGTGATCTTTAGTGCATAAATCTTCAATTTGCAAATAGCCTCAGGATTTTATTGACTTTATTGTATGGAATCATGATTTGATCACCTCACAGACAACTTTATAAATTGCCTTTTCTTCACACACAAACACACAAATACGCGCTCAGACAGTTTTGCACAAGAAATGTGTGTTTGAAAAAAACTCCCTGAATTTTTGCGCAAAATCATTATTATAAAAGAGATTTTTGAAGTGTTATAATAAGCGCGGGAAAAAAAATGGCAATTCAAAATCAAGTTTATTCAGTGTTTTTCTTTCGACTTGTTAATATTTATTGAATGTAATCAATGCTGTGGTTTGTATTTCATTACCTAATTTATGAACTTGTCACATAAATAAGTGATATTTATGGGTGTTTCTCTTGTGTTTGAGTAATTTCGCGAAATTCGCTCTGATTCTCTATCGCAATTGAGCTGATAAATCTTGGTTAGAGTGTGTGTCACAATGAGTAATTACTGTTAAATATTGTGGTTTTAATTGCAAATAATAAATGATTTAGTGGGAATAAAGTCTATTTTGGATGAATAGTTAATCTTTCACTCCCTGTTTTATCATGATTTATCGACTCACAACGCATTTTCCCTTCCTTTTTCTTCACAGATGATGACCAGAAAGCGCCGAAGACGCAGTCAAAGGTGGCGGGATAAAGTGCGGAATTTTGTTGTGAAAATCAGGATTTTTCTTCTTCTTTTGAATGCGCGCGCGCGCGCGTGGGCACAAAAATTTAAGTGATTGTAGTGATTTTTTGTAGCAAAAGTGCTATTTTGTAAAAAAAAAAAATTGTATTTCCCCCTTAATTTTATCCTTAAATGTATTTTTCATTTACAATCAAATAAGTTTAGGTGAGAAGAAGAAACGTGAAAGTAGCAATTATAGATTTGTGTCATTACATATAAATGTAGATTTAGAGGAGTGTAAGAAAGAAGATGAGAAAGAAAATGTGTATCTAAGAATAATGTGTAAGAAATATAATATAGCTAGAATTTAATAATATTTACCTTTTATGTTAAAATAATGTAGATGAAAAAAAAAACCAAGAGTGATGTAAATTTTCAAAACATCCCTTGGCAATCACTCAATCATTTGAGCACTTTTGATCGTGTGAGATTTACAATTTACACATCTCGAGCGATGAAAGTGAATTGAAGAAAAACTACCAATTTTTTTCTAGTCTCTTTCTCTCAAATATAAACCACAATTTTATGGCTCTATCAAAATGAGATTGCAGATGGCATTTATGGTATTAATTGGCCTTTCTTCTTGTCTCAATTGCGCCGCGCTGAGATGGTTGAAAAAAAAACGGAGGAAAAATATTTGAGACACTTTAATAACTTCCTCATTACGAAATTCTTCTTATCTCGTCTGCTTCGCGTGAGATATTAAACTGAGGCGCGCATTTTGAATTGTTCCATCAATTTTGTCCTGATTTTTATTACCTAAATATTATTATTGAAATGCATTTCGAATTTATGGAATTTTTGTCGATAGAAGAAAATTTTTCATTGGCTTTTTGTCCAACCTTTTTGTTGTTTTGTTGTGATAAAAGAAGGGAAAAAAACAATTTATTTTCAAGACGAAAAGGCAAAGATGAATAAGAAAGAAAAAATCACGAGTGTGTAAAAGTCAAAGTCGAAGGAGAAATAATTTTCAATTCAATGTAATTTGGATTTTTAGTGAGAGAGAAAAAAAAAACATAATAATAATAATAATATTAATTATGGAAAATTACATCAACATATGGATAATTATAAAAGAAAAAAATGATAATAAATATAGCGAAAATAGAGAGAAAAATTTGCATTTTATCATGCCATATAAAAGTTTAATTGTGAGACTTTGCAATTAATCCAGATTTTATTTATATGAGCCTATTAATTGCCAGCGCGAGAATGTTTTATATTTCAACTTGTGCGCGCGCGCGACTCTTAAACTCTATTTAAATGAGCGGCTCAACGCACTGGCGTTTGAAATACAATGTGTCGATTGGCGTTTTGCATAAGATCTCCTGCACTAAAATGTTGTCAGAGAGACAAACATTAAAGCCTTCTTGTTGTGCGTTGAGAGGCGCATTTTGTACAACACGCAGCGAATGCTATCGCACAGATATGGGTCGAAATGAAAGTCTAAGAAAAACTAATTATAATTTAATATCGCACCACAATATTGACCGTGGGTGAACGCAAAGCGCATTCATTCACGTGTGTTCGCTGAGTTCTTTTTTTCTGATAAAAATGAGTGCAGGAAATCATGTTTGGGCTGAGGCAAAAATGTGAGGATTTTTCAAATATTCATTTTTCCCATAATCATGTGAAAAATATTTAGGGTGTGTCAAAGGCAGTTATAATTGCTTCATTTTGCTACAAATATTGCACACACAAAATGCGATCACTTCGCGCCATAAGTTTGTGCTGTGGTGATATATTTTTAAAAAAGGAAAATTAGAAGGCGAAAATCTTAATTAATACATAAAGTTGCCTGAAGTTCACGCACAATTTTAATCTCTCGTGAGAGATTGGAGAAAAACACAAAAAAGCCTGGTTTAATGTGGTGCAACAGTCAATTTTATTGGCATGCCAGGCGATCCAATGAATCATTCATGAGTGGTTGGAGCAAATAAAATAATTTATTTCACTCCCTCTCGCCAAGTGCGGGCGCGCGAGAGAAGGTGGATTGCGATGAATTATTCAAGAGGGATCGTGGCGCTTTTTGCCACCCAACAATCACACTTTGTGTGATCGAAGGGGAGCGATAGCGAGTGGCTGAAAAGGTGTCGCCGTTGAGATCTCGATCAGGGCGCGGAACCTCTCAAAAATAAGAGATCCGATCACGCCGATGATCTTCAGTGGCAATAAAGAAGTAATCTTCATTCACTGGACTCACCCAAGGGGGAGATAATATGGTCTGTATTCTGAAGAATTATTTAGTGAGAAACTCAATCGCTCTGACAGAATAAACTGAACTTCTCTGCGTAAATAACCAATGAAATCAATTCAAGTTAGCTAATTCATGAATATCAATAATAATAAAATCATAACCTTTCAATGTGAAGCATTTTAACCTCGCAAATGAGTGAAAATGGAAGAAAATACGAATTAACAAATCGTTACTCATTTCGTTTTGTTAAGTTCAACGCGAAAGAAATGCAATTGCGATTGAGAAACACAGAAAATTCTCTTAAAATCAAACATAACCACAAACTTGACCACAAAAATTCGATTCAAAATGTTCATTTCCAGAAGTTTTCTGAGCTTGTTTTGTATTAAAACCCGCAATTCCAACAGAAAGACAGACTTTGGACTTCCCTGACAAATTCTTCAAGATCTCTTAAGGTTATCTTTAAGGTTATGATAACGAAAAATTGTAAAAAAATCGATTTCCACAAAAATAGCAATTGAAAACTTGCAAAATCTACAAAATCTCTTTAACAAAAATCTACTCAATAATCTTCAGGGTGATAGGATTGAGTGATTAGCAGATTTTATCCATATTATCTCCCCCTTTGGATTACCTCAAAATCTCTTTCACTTTAATTATTATTAAGTGAATTCTATTGCACGAAATCCACGCCAAAGTTGGTGAAAATGAAAGCACAAACGCGATATTGATCAGCCGAGTCTGAGATGTTGGTGATTTTATCCACACGTCCAAGACATTGTTGCTGTTGACAAATGCAGCGCGATCACGCAATTTTCACTCAAAACTAATTAGTCGATCTTGTTGTGATCGAAGTTGTAAGAATTTCCATCAAACTGATCGCACTAGAACGGGAACATTTTCTGACCAAAACACAAACACGAAACATGGCATTCATTATATTGGGTACTTTTTGCAATAATTGTCTGAGCTTTTAATTCACTCTGTCCAGACTTTTGTGCCTACGCCAGGTGATCTGTCGATTGGGAAGGTGAACCAGTAATTTATCGCTCGGCGCGCATGGATTTTTTTGTTGTTGTTGTTCGTTTGGTGGATGAAAATATGGCGCGTAAGAGATATTTTACGGAGATCAGCCAACTGGCAAAATACGGGTGAATTTGTCGTGATAAATGCAGAAAAAGTGCTCCAAGTTGTGAATTCACAATGAAGTAACGGAAAAATCATACGCGATCGTTTTTTTTCTCTTTTGCTATTATTATTATTATATCTTTAAGCACGATATCCGAGTTGTAGAGAAGGTGTTTTGAGAGTGGTAGAAAGAAAAAAAAACAGTGTTCATGAACAGTTTGTTATTTATTCGGATTAATTTTTACAAAACATTCTTTTCACTTATTGATTGTTTTAGGAAATATGTTTTAACAACTTTGTATGATTTTTCGGTTAAAATCCATGTTTTTCTCTCTCTAATTTGTTTGTTTTGCAGGAAGAATCGTCGAACAAGTGAATGTTGAGTGTTTTGTGTGTGTTTTCCAGCATTATAAATTAACTTCAGTTGGCGATGATCTGAGTGAGTGATTTTTGCTTAATACGTGATCTTCGGCAACCTTGCATTTTGCAATAAGCACACATTTCCCACTGGCAAAAACACCTTCTCTCTTAATAGACCTCTCCTAATAGACCCGTGATATGAGATTTGTGCATTTTTCGCACTAATGAGTCGTCCAATTGCATCCAATGTGACCACATTTGGTCACATCGGGCTGAAGAATTGAGTGTTCAGTGGAAAAATTGACGGGGATTTAATTAGTTTTGTGTCCGGTCGACCAGAAGTGCACCAATTAGCTTGTGCATTTGCGGCATCGTGCGATCAATATTTTGCCCACAAGATCACTCTGCAAGATCGGCGGTTGCTCAATTGTTGAGGTGAGATCGCAGGAATTGCACCTGCTTCTCGTTTGCAAACTGCCAGAGAAAGATCGCGGGGGTTTCTCGAAATCGAGTTTGTGGACTGTGTCAAGGGGGAGAGAATGCTGCTGACATTTGTACAACACTTCCTGACACTTCCTGGGACTTCAAACTCCCAGGATTGTCTGCTCATTGAGATTTAAAATGCCTAACGAGGCTAAATCAGTGACATTCTATCAAATATGCTGTCAATTTTGCTTCTATCATCCGGAAAATTACCAGAAACTAACCGGAATCTAACCGAGATCTAACTGAATTCTAACTAACCAATTTAGAACTCAATTTTTAAATATTTTTCAAGGATTTTTTACACAGTATACTTTTGGAAATCTGTGATTATCAGAATGAGTATTTTTTCTTGCTCAAAATGGCTGCTTTGAAGTGAAAATTTGAGGTTATGTTTGGCGTTATAAATGTTTTTCTATCATTAGATGCTCAGAATCTTGATTCTTATGGAGTACAAATGCGCAAACCTACTATAAAATGAAAATAATTTGATAAAAATGCATAAATTCCCTTTCAAAACTGTTATTTTTTATTAAATAAGTCACATAACCTAGAAAATAAACATCCAGTTACCCAAATATTACATATATTTAAAAACTTTCACTCTGTAACACTTCTGCTGGGCTGTACACCACTTCTGCTCACACTATCTACCCCTTGGCATCGTGTGTTTGTGTATAAAAATCCCATCAAGAAACTTTTACTGGGGCGCGCGCAAATGAAAGGCAATGAAACGAATTGATATATATTGAAAATGGAATTGGAAAAGCACGTTTTCAAGAGGTTCAATGCTTTTTTTCCTTGTCTTTTCACATGAAACTCAACATCATCAAGAAGGTGATTTTGCGAGAGGGCAGAAAAAGAGTCGAGAAAATGGGTGAAGGGTTTGCAATTTGCTCAAATAACAATGGATTTTGATGAAAAGAGAGAGAGAGAATTTCACGGCACGTGACATCGGAAATTGTGTGGGTCTTTGAATGCGCGAAAAAAACAAATTCATAAAAGATTGCGCAAGATCGTTGAATCTATTTTGAATATCTGTGCAGAGTTTCCATTTTTTTGATGAGCAATTTTTATTCATCGCCAGCATCTCTTTAGTTTTTATCGCTCGCTGTCCATTCATGAATATTTCGATGATGATTTTCTCTCTCTCTCTTTTTTGTCAGCAATTATTTCCGTTTTCCTCTCGAGATCTCCTCAGGCGCGTCGCGAGAGGAAAAATTGTGCCTACATCAGTGTGTACGTGTGTGTGTGTGTGTGTCGATGGCGGGAAAAAAAGAGTCAAATTGATTTAGAGTGATTGTGGGGTGTTGCACAAAAATTCAAATTAAAATTGCGCTCTCTGTGTGTGATTGGAATTGAATTGCGGTTGGAGAGAATTATACATTTTCGCGAGAGAGCAAAAGCATGCAAAGATCTCAGTGTGGCGCACGTTCTTGCGATTGTTTATGCAAATTAGATCATTTATCTCCCTGTGAACACACATAAAGTTATATAATCTAATGAAATCAAATTACATCGCAACTTTGTTAATTTAAAGTGATACAAGTTGGATGTTGGGGGCGAGAAAGGCAGCGCGCGCACACACAAGAATGGGGCCTTAAATGTCGCACGTGATCTGTGATGACTGATCTTCCGCGCTGATCCTCCGTGATCTCTGATCACTTCATCATGTCAACTGATGGTCATGGACAATTATTGTGTTGATCGCGCAGTAGTGAAAGGCTCAGGCTTTTTTCTTCCTCCTCGGACACAGCAATGAGAGCCACTTGGCGTTTGGGGAATCCGTAAGAATGCCGATCAGTGGCTGTCTTTCCCTTCCTACTTTCGAAAGATTGTGTGTGCTTTTCCAGTGAAATGGTGAATGCAATTTCGCGTGGTTC